AATGATTTAAGCTTCTGCAAAATCTGAAACATTGGTCTGCCCACTACTTGCTTAGACCAACCTTCCTTAATGATTGCTTGGAAACTCGGGTCAAGTCTCCACATTTCACAATATTTAAATTCATTCCTCTTAATTTGGCAATGGCTATTAGGGATGATCAAAGGGCAATGATCTGAAATCCCCTCCTCCAAAATGATTGTTTTGGAAACTCGGGTCAAGTCTCCACATCTCACTATTTTTATGATTCATATTCATTATTTTTTTCTTCAACTTTTTAATATGAATAATACCATTTTTTTTTGTATATTAATCTACAAGAAAAAATAGGAAACTATTTAAAAAATTATGGTTAAATAGTTATATACGGAGTAGAATATTTTTTAATCTAAATTTATATAAGGTAAACAACAATATTTTAATCTAAAATATAGTACCCTTCAATTAAGTTTAACTACATTGTAGAATATTAAGTGCTAGTTCATCTCTAATTATTTTTTTAAACTATCTTTTTATGTATGAAAATAATATTCGTAATATTTTTTTTATTTTAAAAACAATCATTTAGATAATGTAATAACACCACCACTACCACCACCACCACCACCACTAACAACAACAACAATAATAATAATAATAATAATAATAATAATTATTATTATTATTATTATAGCAATAATGATAATTTATATCAACAAGAATCAGAATGAGAATAATTTAAAACACACATAAAAAAATTTTAAAAACTTTTTTTAGATTTTACAATTTATTCTAGTTTTTTCAGTTTCTTTTAATTTTTTTCTGTTTTTCAAGTTTTTTTCCAGTTTCTTCCAGTTCCTTTCAGTTTCTTCCAGTTCTTCCAGTTCCTTCCAGTTTCTTCCAGTTTCTTTCAATTTTTTCTAGTTTCTTCCAGTTTCTTCTAGTTTCCAGCTCTTTTTTTCCAGTCCTAAAGAACAGGCCCTAAATTGTTTAAGTGATTTGTCTCTATTTTTTTCTTCAATGCTAACGATATGAAAAAAAGACAAATTACAAAAATAAATCTACCGAATGTCAAAATAAGTTGGGGATCAAGAATAACTAATTTCTAATGAAGTTTAGTTTAACAAATTTAAAATGTTTGGAGATTTGTATTTTTTTTAATTCAGGACTAAAGAAGAATGTGAAGGCAAAAGTGGGCCGATGTATCATCGCCCATGCGGAAGGCCTTTGGGCCTTACCTTTGACCATCGCACAGGGGAGCTCTATATCTCTGACGCTTTCTATGGGCTTCTAAAGGTCGGCCCAACTGGCGGGCTGGCGACTCAGTTAGTGGCCGGCGTCAATGGTCAAAGCTTCGGCTTTCTAAACGCGATGGAGATTGATCAGTCAACGGGGGATTTCTATTTTATAGATTCCGGCGCCATTTTCCTCCAAGTGTACGTTCCTCTACCACTACTTGATAGTCTTACCTCCCACTTTGAGTCTTTCAATTTTAATACAATAGCTTGGGGTATACTATACTTCAAATGATTAATACTTTCCCCGTCCAAAAATAATCTTTCCGCTTTGACGTTACACACAAATTAAGAAAAATTAAAAAATATTTTAATTTTCCATATTTGGCCTTGGGTCATCACAAAAAGTGAAATAATGTGTAGGTATGAATAGTAATTAATGAATAAAGGTGAGGGTAGTGACATGATTTTAAAGAAAAAGTATTTTTCCAAAAAAAGAAACGAGAAATTAATTTATGAACGGACAAAGAAGCAAAATGGAAAGATAAATTATGGACGAATGGAATATAACTTTATTGGGGTGCAAAAGAGTGTTGTAGTCGGATTCAAGTAGTGTATGATATTTTTTAATTCGTATAAGGTAGTGTTTGGAAACTAGTATTACATTTCAATTCATGTATTTCAATACCAAAATTTAAAATTTAAAATCTTACTCCCTCCGTCTCGGAGTATTCGTCCAGTTTTGACTTTTGGAACTGTTCATTTAAGCACTTTGACTTATCAAATTCTCTCAATGTGTAAGCCTAAATATAGTCATGTGTGATCTTGTTTGATTTGTCTTAACATATAGATTATTAATATATATAATTTCTATAATTTTTTAATATAAAAATTACAAGATAAAATGGATTAAAGAAGTGTATTGGATGGTGTGTAAAAATGAAAGTGGACAAATACTCTTGGACAGAGGTAGTAAATGACAAGGGGGTGCATAGATTTCAAATTAAACTTTGTTATAAATGAGAAAAATTTGACTCAAATCTAAATTTTTAAATTTTCCAAATATGGAATCTGAGCCAAATCTGAATTTGAAATTCAAATCCATGTTTCCAAACATACCATAAAGGTTATTGGTGGGACTAGGTAGATAATGTTCTCTACTGCTCAATTGAGATTAGATTTTCTTTATCATCTCTAGGAGATCTTATGATGGGGTTCATTGTTTTTTTATTTCCAACACTAATTTTACTATTAATATACTTCCACAAGCTTTTACACAAATTTTGACTCTTTTGCTTAAATTTTACAATCTTTGGCAACAAATTATGAAAAAATTATATTCAGTTGAAATGTAATTTTAATCTAACTGGGTAACTAGGATGAAATTTTGATATATCAAATTTATAATCCCTCCGTCCCATTTTATAACGCCTATTTCAGTTTATGATGTTTGACTGAAACTATTTTCAAATCATTTTATATGACAAATAGTATACAGTTAAAAAATAAAAATTACATATTAAAATACTACATCAAAAGATCTACTCCCTCCGTCCTATATCTTTCTTCCCGTTGTGCAAAACGAAGAAAAATCCTAAGTTTTTTCAATCTATTTTATTTAAATATTGGTATAGAAATAAAAAATAAAACATACATATTTAAAAACTACATTAAAAGTTCAACAAAACAAGTGGTGACAAGAATATTTTATTTTATCATATAGGCCATGAAAAAACACAAATAAATATAAATTCCCGTGAAGTTGGAATAGTGCTCTGGGAAGAAAGTTGTAGGACGGAGGGAGTACCAAACTAGTAGTGACAGTAGTACTTTATTTTATCAAATTGCTAATGAAAATAGTGAAAGAAAATGAATGAAGTTTGACCATGTGAATAGTAAACATGCATTATAATTTGGGACGGAGGGAGTAGCATTTATTTATTTAAAATTATATTTGTCAATAATCAAGGTGTGATTGTGTGAAGTCGTTTGATTCAAAAAGTGAAACTGTAAAGATTTTTTTTGAACGGAGGGAACATGTTATTATATATATTGACTTAGTAACCCTACCAAAGATTGTACAGTCTAGTGGGATCAGTGTGACTTTTCTAAAAGGGAGGTCACAAGTTCGACCTTCAATTTAAACATTGACAAATTACAGTATTTAATATGTTGGGAAAGTATATACGTAGTATGTTTTAATAGATAGTAAACATATATTGATATAAAAAAGACATAGAGACCTTAGCGACACGTCTAGATAACTAAACATGTACATACTTTGTAGGGGCAATCCAAGTATTTTTAGGAGCGGAGACACGACAGGGAAGCTTTTTAAGTACGAGGCAACGACTGGTGAAGTGACAGTGGTTCTAGATGGGCTTTCAGGGCCGGCAGGAATGGCCATGAGCAATGACCAAACATTCCTTATCATATCCGAGTACATCTCAGGAAAGGTTTTCAAATATTACATAAAAGGCCCAAAGGCGCATACAAAGAAGACACTACAACTTGAAAACCTCAGAGGACATCCGGTGAACGTGAAAAGGGCCAAGCCGGAGGGGTTTTGGATGCCCTTGAACATCTTCAGTGATGACCAATCAAGTATTGTTACCAAAGAATCCTTTGCGGTGAAGTTTGATGGGAATGGAAAAGTTTTGGCCAAAAGGAAAATTAGCATTCACATGCCTAATTTTACAAGTGTGTATTTAGAACATGATGGTAGAGCTTATACGGGCTCAACGTATTCCGAATTTATGGGTGTGGGTATGGCACTTCCAAACTAGCTAGCTCAAGGGGGTGATGGATGATCTTCTATATCACAAATTATTGCTCTTTGTACTAATCACTTATGATTGATTGAAGAATACGGAATAACTATTTTTTTCAATCAATGAGATGTGATTGATGCATAGAACGATTCAGTTGTGGTATAAGAGATCTTGATTCAAAAGACTCGGAGTTAAGTTATATGCATGTCCAATATATATGGACATCTACCGGCAGTACCATTAGACAATGTTCGGCTTTTATGAAGCCACTAGTCTCTTTGTGCTTATATAAGAGTTACTTGTAAGAATAAGAATCAAAATAAAAAATACTTATGTGATGCGATTAATGTACGTGTGTTTGCATATTGAAAATAAATAAATGCTTATTTGATTCGATTAATTTTACGGAGTATAGTTTCAATTTTTCCTCATGAAGTCTCTTGTCATGGAGGAAGTTGCGTAGAATGTCGCATGACAACAATTTGTGAAGCTTATAGAGGGGAAGTATGCCATTGTCAGATCTTATCCTCTGTTATTGATGAATTTGTGAGTAGGATGTATTTGTGACGTGCCCACTACATAAGTGAAAAGTGAGGGACTTATTTTGGGACATATGATGTATTTGTGAATTGCCCTCTCGGAACGTTCACTATACTTGTTTTTTCTTATTTAGACCAAAAACATATACTCCGTATACATATCATCTTGTCATCTACAATTGCAAAAGGGCAATGCTAGGGGTACACCAACATGAGCACAAACACAAAATGTCTGTGCTGCACAAACATTTTGTGTTTGTGTGTGTGTGTTAGCCTAAATATACAAATGGGGTAGCCCATGTTGGTGTACCCTTAAGTTAATTCTTTGCAAAATCATCTCATAAGAGACTATACTTGTGAATATATAGTGAGTGGTATTATTGGATAGTCTATGCCATTGATGTGCAATGGCGGCTTTCGTTAACTACTACTTTGCAGTTAATGAATGACAATAAGGAGAGCTTTTCAAGAGCACATACCTTTGATGAAGATTAGCTCAGAAGATTTTTGTCCAAAGCCCCATAGAATCAAGCCCTAGTAAACACTGAAACACACCCACGTCAATTGTTTATAATCAACAACTAACAAAATACAAATTGAAATTCCATTAAGCAATGATGTTCCGATGAAGACTCGACCCCGGGGTCTTCAACATAACTCATCATAACAACAAAAAAGTAATAGTTCAAAATTTCAGAAGACGTCAACAAGAACAATAACGAGGGAATGAAGGCATATATTACCTCTACTAGAAATGGTAGAAAGGTCTTTTTTACAACTCGGACTACACAACAATAAATGTCTCTTGAAAGGAAAATGAAATACTTCAAATGGACTCGTAATGTATTTCTTCTTAGAAGGGAAGGAGAAGAAAATTATATGTAGCGTCCATATCTTTTGGGAAAAAGAACTACTAATCCCATGATAAATGGAGGTTCAACAGACACACTAGTAAAGAATTCAAAATTGAAATCATGGTATAGAACAGAATCCCAAATTCTTAACAAGACATTAAAGGCCATTCAGCACACTAAAATTTCTGTTTTTTCAGAAAACTTAAAACAGTTTTCGTTTTTCTCTTTCGATTTTCTACACATTTTCAAATATTAATAATGATTTCAGAAAAAGAACATATATGAGCAGTAAATGCACATAAGCCTGCAATTTTATATTTTAATCCAAAGCATAAAAGACAAGTTCAAAGCAACCCAGCAATTCATATTAACCTAAAGAATAAATCAAAGTTTACACTCTGGGTAACTCTTATTCTATTCCAAAGCAGCAAAATTCAGTTCATATCAAGCCAACCATTCTTATCCTTACACTACAGAAGCTTATCATTTCAAACATTATTTAACAAAGAAGCAATCCAGAAAATGTTTTTATACGTCACAGAAACCCGGAAAATCTTATTCACCTAAACAAATAGTTTTGAAAACCGGACATGCCGGTCCGGACCGGGGACAGAGAACCGGTGGTCGAACTGCCCATTAAGCCCTTTGGACCGTTTTATGGTTCTAACCAATGCAGACCAGTTTGAACCGACCAGTTCATGCCGGTTTTGATATCGCGGAGAATGAACAGACAATGAATCGCATGAACATTAATATGTGGCACTACATAAAAATATTAATCAGGCTCCACAACCTAACACTTTTTCCTGCAAATATGGGCACAGCATGTCTTCTTAGAAGGGAAGGAGAAGAAATTTATATATAGTGTCCATATCTTTTGGAAAAAAAACTACTAATCCCATGATAAATGGAGGTTCAACAGACACACTAGTAAAGAATTGAAATTTGAAATCATGGTATAGTGTCCATATCTTTTGCTAACACTCAAGATTGACTTGTTAAGGGAAGGGTTAGTGGCATGTTCTATTCAAGATGTTAATGAAGGTATAAATAAAACTCATGAGATTTTTTGTTAGTCATTTGACTCATTTCCAGTAATTATTTCTAACTCTTAAATAGTATTGAATTATGAATATTTGTCAACATAATTATTTTTTTGTAGAAGCATTAAACTAAGAAGTGCCAAATGAAGAACATGATGAAGAATATAGGATGAAGATGAAGATGATCCTTATGATCGTATTCACAAGTTGAACATGACCCCAATGTTGAATTAAGTTAGCTAATTTGGAATTTGAAATGTTTGTTTTAGACATTACTTGATTTTGGTTGATGACTTGTATTAATCTTAGTGGAGATGTGTATTTTTTTACAAGTAACACTATTAAAATCACTTCTGTTTTCTTTGGGACTATAATCAAGAATTTGGTATTGTTGGAACTTAAATGTTTAATTTGTAGTACAAAATATGAAATCATCACCCCTCACCCTTGGATCTCACTTGCATCTAATCATTATTTTTTCCATGTTAATCTCTATTAAAAGCCTCTGCCTCCTAGAACAAGCTAGAAGGCTGAAATTTTCTTCAAGAAAATGAAAAGTCATATTTGTTAAAAACTAACCTCTGTTAGAGGCATAAACACCAAAACCAAGACCACAAACTTGTCCATTATGCATTTTCCCTAGAACTTGCTTGGAAAAGAAACTCCATCTTTGAGTTGCCCAAGTTCCACATCACCCATAAATTTTTCAATTTCTTCCTACAGAGATGTGCATATATGGTGATTTTTCTCTGTATGTACATTAATCAAACCTATCCCTAGTTGGAATATATTGAATTGTATGATTACCTTTTTCCATTGCAAGTACCGTACAACCTTGGTCTTTAAGTTCTGTTCGAAAACCAATCCATTTTCATCTAAAAGTAAAGAACTTAAAATCATTACGGAGTATATCACATCAAAGAGTATAAATGAATTAATATTTTACGGACAGTTTTTATCAAACAGATGTATTATACCTATAAGGACTTCAGTAGAATGGAGTCAAAATCGGAGAGGTGACAATGTACAATTACGACTTGAACTAGCCCTACCACTTTGATTTGATGTATGAGCACGACGGTCTGCATAGGTCCAAGAGTAGGTGAAGCAAAAGAGGGTCGAAGTATGGAAGTAGCTGATGATAAAAATCAATTCTTCCCCAAGTTACTTCCCAATAGTAGCATTAACATTTCCAATATATGCGGACGACTTGCTTGAAAATTCTCGGCATAGCATATCAGTGTGCACCATAGCAAACTCAATATCATCCTCAAATAATTTCATTTCATCACTTAATTTACCCAAAATGTCATATATTCGCAAACAGCGAGGATGTGAATGGTCTTCTGCAATAAAAGCATGCACCTCATTATTAACTTCTATCCAACTCTTACCAGGGATCTTCTTCACTCCCTTGTCTTTCATCAACCTCTTTACAGAAGCTATTTCATCCCAAAGCTTTTGCTTTCCAAACATGTCGGTGATCAAAACATATATGCAATGTTCTCCAGGATCCAATTCCAACAAATGGTGTGCTACCTCGCTGGCTAGTTCAATATCGCCACATGTTCTGCAGGCTCCAAGTAGTGTTTTCAAAACCATTGAATCCGGTTGGAACGGCATACCCCGAATAAGCTCCTTTGCCTCCTTCATAAGCCCAGCCCGCCCGAGTAAGTCTATTGCACAAGCATAATGTTCCATTCTTGGTGGGATCCCATAATCAGATTCCATAGAATTCAGAAAATTTCGACCTTCTTCTACCAGACCAATGTGGCTACAAGCAGTCAAAACAGCAACAAAAGTGACATGATCTGGATTGACTTTCCATTTTGTCATTGAAGAGAAAAGATCAAGTGCAACTTTACCCATCCCATGTTGTGCGTATGCAAATATAATTGCGTTCCAAATGATTGAACTGTCCTTTGGTGATTCTTCAAAGGTTTTACATGCATCGTCAATGTGTCCACACTTGGAATACATGAATATCAATGTGCCAGTGACATATTCATATACATTGACTCCTGTTTTAAATATCAAGGCATGAATCTGTTGACCCAATCGAGATATTGCCAAATCTGAACAAGATCGAAGGATGGCCGTAATGGCATATTGATCCATTTCAATGTTGTGAGACCTCATTTCCTCAAATATCTTGAAGGATAATTCATTTAATGAATTTTGGGACAATCCTGTTAAAATTGTATTCCAGGATATAGAATCTTTTGCATCCAAAAATTCAAAAACTTTCAGCGCATCATCAATATAACTACCATTAGATTTGAGATACATGGAAATTAAAGCATTAGCAATGCTTGTTACATTTTCCAATCCCCTCTTAATAACCAAAGTGTGCAAGCATTTTCCATGGCTTTTTGGATGAATTTCATCAGTAGCACTAATTATAGTAGTAAATGTATATATATCTGGCTCCAAACCAAGTCTTCCCATGTCCAAGAATAGCCTATATGCTTCCATCCCTTGATCACATTCTACGTAAGCTGCTATCAATGAATTCCAAGTGATCAGATCTCTACAACTGTTGGCGCCATCAAACACTTTCTCTGCATTCTCAATGCTTCCACAGTTAGCGTATGTGCTAATTAGAGCATTAGAAACTGCATTTTCAAAATCCAAACCAGATTTTAGGATTCTTCCATGAAGCTGCATTGCAAGCTTGTAAAACACCTGCTCGTCTAACAAGGCCAAAATCGGACAGAATGTGCCATCGTCCAACTGCACATTCTCTCTCCCCATTCCTTCCAACAACCGGAAACAATTCTCACGGTCACCAGTCACCGCATATCCTGCTAGTAAAGCATTCCACGAAACAGTGTTGCGCTCGGGCATATGGAGAAACACTTTATTTGCATCCTCCATCCTGCGACACTTGGCATACATATCTATCAGAGCACTTGCAGAATAAACATTCCCATCGCACCCCATCTTGACAACATCCGCATGCACCAGTAGCCCAAAAGAGAGATCAGCATTAGCGGCAACACCTTTAAGAATGCTCCCAAAGGTGTACACATCAAACACAAGCCCATGCTGCTTCATGGATTTCAAGAAATCCCAAGCACTCCAGAAGTTGCCAGAGTTCACGTAGCCAGCAATCATGGTGTTCCAAGAAGCGGTGTCTCTGTGCGGCATTTCATCGAACAGCTTGAGAGCAGCAACCAGATCTCGGCACCTAGCGTAGACATTCAGTACCTTATTGGTCCCGTAAGTGTACCCAATTTGTGCTGATTTGATGAACCGACAATGGGCAACTGCAGCTTTTGATGCAGAAATCATCGAGGTCTGCAGTGTTTAACTTCTCCTTAAGCATTGATACAAATGCTCACTGGCTAAGACATTGAAGTCTTGAGTGCATACAGCATTCAAACAAGCCTTGTCTGTGCTTTACTCAATCTGATGAATCTGAGCTCTGAACTGAAGCCACCTGTAACAAAATTAAGGATATCTGGTGTTTTTTGTGAATTGATTTGTTGGGTTGATAAACCCCCATGAACATTTTTTAACTTATACTCCATAACAAAATACGGAGTATAAACTAGAGAAATTTACCTAAATAGAACTAAAACATAATGACTTTATCAATATAGGATCACATGTTTTTATTTCTCAATGTATGACCTTTGGTCATTATGAAGTTGTCATTATTCAAGTAAATGTCCATCATTACTGGACATTGTTCCTACATCCTCCAACAAGGTCATTATTAAGTCCTATTTAGGAAATAAAAAAGTTTAAGTCCTACATTAGGAAAGTCATTATGTTTTAGTCCTTTTTAGTGCTAATTTCACTATAAACTACTTATAAATTAAATATTTTTTCATCAAAATAGAATGATTTAAATTATACTCTGTAGATAAATTATTTGGACATATTCAAAACATTAGAGACATAGTTTTGTAGATAATTTCATCAAAACGGAAAAATAAATAAATCTGTTTTAAAATAAATAGGTAGATCCTGCTTATTTTCTTGAAAACGCAGAAAAACACGTCAAAATATGACTTATAGCTTAAAAATAGTTTAGAAGCTATTTTGACAAACTTATACACCCAAAGAAACACTCACTAAATTTCTAAATCTAAATAGTATTTTTGGATTCTAAAAGCTCATAGGCATTTAATTCAAATTTTAAAAATATTATATGTATATATATACATATGTGTTGTGCGCGTGTGTGTATTCAATTTGTATTTTAAAATATTTTTCTAAATCTAGAGTTATTCAAAATTGGCATTTTCTTTTTTGGTAATTCGGATTAAATTTTAAAAGGTTGAAACATATGGATATATAGGTTGAAATTTTAAAAAAATGCAAATGTGATAGAAAAAGTAAGAGAGAATATGTAAAAGTGATTGAAAAGTAAAAGAAATAGTGCAAAATGATTTTAAAATATTAAAATAGAAATAAAATATGGAAAAAATACTAAAATAGTAATTCCATATTTTTTATATCTAAAATTAGATTTACAATTCAATAATGTCACAATATATATTGACAAAAAACATTGTGAAATGGTAATATGGAATGTCACAATATCACAGTGTAAACTTTTAGTTTGGACTGAAACACATGAAACTCTTTTTTTGGGGATAAAAGTTATGTATTGTTCTTATCTGGATGATTTGTTTTTTTAAAAAATAGAAAATGTAATTTGATAGAGGTTGGCTCCAGGTCATCAGATGGTCTCATAGATTCCACGGACGGCCCCTCGCCACCTCGGCTCAAGACCACTGAGGCGAGCTCATCGACTCGGTCAGGGGGCCCAAGTGATGGGCACCCATTTGTTGGCACGTGAAGCTTCCACATGGGGACATATGTGAAACCATAAGGCTCCAACGGCCAACAACGAGAACTAAGCAATAAGGGAGTGTCATGAGCCTGCCAATGAATCCTCAAGACCAAAACAATAGCTAGGCGACAAACGAGTGTCAAATCACGATTATTATTGTTGTAGAGTGCCTTGTAAGGGATCCGAAATCAACCAAATATACTCCTACTCTGCGCACACACACTCTCTCCATTCAGTTTCTCTTCCTTATTTGACTAATCGACCCCACGGTCAGATTACTCGGTGGTTTATTACCATCATAATTAAAAAAAATAAATTAGTTGTTTCAAATTTAAAAGTGTGTCTTTTGGGAGAGACAATTAACGTAAAATCACTAATTTCTACGGAACATTTCAGATAAATATTTTAAGAAATTAATGATTTTATGTTAATACTCTGAAACTCAACAATTAACGTCAATGCTCCAAAACTTAATTATTTTTACATTGATTCTACGTAATTCCAATTAAGCAAAATGAAAAATTTTATGTAGTCATAAGATTCATACTCAATTTATTGACCTTAATACATAACCACCATGAAAGAGTTGATCTTTAAGAAAAATAGAAAAGAATCAATTATAAGTCCATGAAAAGTTACATGGGCTTTAGGATCACGAAAATACATATCAAGAGAAATACGTGACATTTTAAATGTTAGTCGTGCATATATTGCGTATAAGTTCAAAGCTACTAAAAAATAAAGAAAACACTTGAAATGTGTTACAAAAAGACCCCCTGCCTCCCACTCTGGTTTTAAACCCTGTAAATCTAAAATTTATTCCTATTTTAATAAGATAAGTTATTATGAACAGTGTTTCGCACAAAAATTAGATAATTTTAAAGTTAATAGTTTATAATCAAAATTATATTCTTTCAATAATTTCAAGGGAGATATATCGATATTTATGAAAGCATATGAGCTACATATTTACATTTATAGCCATTTTAAGAGTAAACAAATTCTTAAAAAAGAGTATAAACATGAAAAAAAGTAAAATTCAACTGATTTGACCGTTATTTAAAAAACAAAAGGGTATGAATGAAAAATAAAAACAAAAGGATAAAAACTTGATAAGATATAATAGAGTAATTTTTATGATCTATTTTTGTCATTTTATTTTAAAAATGATTGTATAACCAATTCAATTTTAATTTTCACTTTTTATACTTTTAAAATGAGAATAACTTGAAATCCATAAGTTGCATCCTTTCACAACATTTAATTGTAGAATTTATTTCTATGAGACCTATACAAGAAATACAGTTTTGATTATAAAATACTCCCTTCATTTGGGGAAGATCTTCCTATTACACGTTATGGGATCTGATCGATTTTTTTTACTTTATTTGATTTGATTTTAGCTTTAATATTTAAAATAAAATTTATGTAGTAAAAAACTGTGTGTAAAGCTCTATAGAACAAGAGACTACATGATTATATCATTTTATGAAATAAGTAGTAAAAATAATCAAACCAAGTGAGTACCTCTAACTCTGTGAGTAGTGTTTTAGAAGATCATTCTCGGATAAAGTGAGTAACAATTAAATTCTCTATTTTTTCATAAGAAAGGCTATCCACATTTTATGTAACTAAAATATAAATAAATTTCACTCCTTCCATCATTGAGTATTCATCCAATTTTAATTTTTTCGATCAAAATTAGTGAATTTTGACTTCAAATTAAACAAAAATGATACGGAGTATTAGATATTGATACAAAAAGAGTTTTACGGAGTACTAGGTTTCTTATATAAAATATTTTAAATTATTATTTTATCTAATTGATATACAATATATATTTTATTTAATTATAGGTCAAAGATTGAAATCAATTGACTAAAAAAATCAAAACAGAAAAATTTTCAGGGACGGAGATACTAGTTTTTTTTTGTATCACATTTTTTTGTTTTAAACCGGGGGGTCTAGTTGTAACACATTTAAGATAATTTCTTTATTTTTTATTAGTTGTCAATCTTACTTAACAATTGTTCAACTATCATTCAAAGTGTCACACATCTACTTCAGTTAACAGACTGGGAGGAGTGAAGTCAAGAATTTATATAGCCTATTTTTTAAAATTTACTTAACTTCATAAATATTCGTTACGAATTTAATGTAATTGATTATTACGGAGTATAGTTCATCAAATTTGAGTAAAAAGTAATCCAATTGAAACATGACAAGGTTTCCATGACATTGTTGGGCAATGTCATGAGAACCTTGGTGTTGAAAAAATTAGAAACAAATAGCCCAATCAAAAAACTTGTAATTCATAATAACAAATTATTTTAAAAAATAAAAATCAAGGATTTGTAATGATTTCAGAAAACAGCTAAGAACTGGAATTGATCGTAGATTTCTCCCAACTACATTAGTCACACTTCCGCTCTTAAAACTAGTAATTACAAAACCAAGCCAAACTAGAAGCAATGGGTTATGTATGGTGTATACCACTTGTACTTTAGGATGTTGCGATGAGGAGAGATAATCTTACACAACTACTTTAGTGGTGCAAGATCGTTATACAAATTCAATTGGTGCTCTAATTGTAAAATTGATTGTTTTTACTTCTTCTAACCCTCCCTAGTAAACCTTCTAACCCGCCTCGTTCTAAGCACACCCCCACACCCCGCCAATTTCATTGCACTAAATTCTATTGACTTTTGGGTCAAATTTTTTGTCCAAATTTGATGTAATAAACTTGGCGGGGTTATGGGCATGTGTTAGAAACGGGGTGAGCTAGAAGGTTTACGGGAAATTATAGGATAAGAAAGATCAATTTTATCCATAGAATATCATATGTGCTCTAATTAAATTGGTGTAATTGTATGGGTGACTTTCGTGGGAAAATTTGTAACTTGGCTCTTCCAGGTTTCTTTAACAATCAAAATCAACCCCACCAGGACCAGGGTGGCCGAGTATTTCTCCATCGACTCCAAATGTGTTTGCCAATGATTCGACGGCTTCTGGGAATGAGCACGCAGAGTTGTTCGATTCAAGCTCTGTACGATCTCTGCAAGAAGACCTTTCCGCCCTCTTCAACTCTCCAACCTTCTCCTCAAGCCATCCACAAACTCTCTTCCTTACTCGGTACTCTATTTCCCCCCTGCTCTTCTCTTTTTTGTATGGGATCCTCCTTAAGGATTTAATGATTAATTGAATTATGATGAAATGAAAAGGTAAATTGTCACTGTATTATTGTTATTTCAATGCTATGTTGCACGGATTCTTCAATCGGTTGTTGTTTTCCACCATCGAACTATCCTGGTTTCTTACTTGCTGATGTCTTGACAACGGAGTAGCATTTAGAATTGGGAAAAGTTCGTATTCCCTGTTCTGTTTTAGATTTCATGTATGGAATCAAATATTTGGAATGGTATTTATTTCTCGTGTTTGTTACACACTTGTACAGTTGTACCTTAGATCAACAAGACTCTAATACCATGTCAAGGAATCCACTCAACCAAAAGCTCAAGCCTGTGGTTGTGGCTCAAGAAAGGTTTTTATATTCTAATATAGTACATTGGACAATTCATGTAAATTTATTCTCTAAACGGGAGGTTGTAGGTTTGATCCCCAGTGGGGCATTGGCTCACTTTGTTTCAGTCAATAGTACTTAAAAAGATTGGATACCCCAAAAAGGCGTCTAGGTGCAAGGCTTCAATTAGTTTTTCACCTTTTGTCCTGGCTTAGGATCTCATTAAGCATGTCTCTTTTCTGCTGCCTGCCACTAGATGCACGTAGAAGGATGACAAGCAAGGTTGGCTCAACCGGGTCATATTCCTTGCATAAATGCTCATTTGGTGACACTTCCTACGGTTTTTGCAGATACAGTTAACCTTGATGATGTTGGCCTGAAAGATGAAAGTCAAGAAGATGAAAGAGGCCATGGCCTTTTTGGAATCAACATGTCTAACCGTGTAGATCGATGGGCTCAACCATTAACATATATAGATATCCACGCGGGAGAAAGTTTTACGGTATGATCTTGCCTTGTCTGTTAATCTCAATTTTGTTGTGGATGCGAGAATGTGTACATCCGTACTGACTGCAAAACTTTTTATGGAGTAGCATGTGGCAGCAGTTAACTAGGTAAGAATATTTTCCATTTCCAAGCTAACTAGCCTGTAGTTAACATTTTTAGCTAAGCATAAATTTACGTTTGGAAATAAACAGTTTGCATTTCTTGACTCTATACTCAAAATAACCTGTAAAAACATTGACTATGTTCCAACATTTAAAGAACGGATGAAGTATATAACACAAATAAGGCTTCTGGTGAACCTTTTTTCTAATTGTATCTGTGTGAATGATTTGGCTTGTGATCAGTGCCAAAATTATTGTTGACTATTCTGTCTAGATTACATTGACATTTTTATTCTTTATTTTATATTCTGAGTTGTTTCTTTTAGAGCTGGTGTTCAATTTCTACCAGGTGTTCTACTTCTCCTTGAAATACACTACTCTAGTTCATACTTAGGTCACACTTAGGTGTGTGGAGCCATACTTGCTGGATTTGATGTCACTTCTATCTCAAATTCTAAAAATCCACAAATAGACGGCTATTTCCACATAAGCGCTAGGCTTCTATTGGTCGCATGCATATCTTTTCTGGATATGACTCACCCTACACCCTTTGCATGTGGGGGGGGGGGGTCTCTTGGAAACAGTATCTTTACTTTTGAGTAGGGGTAAGGTCTTCGTACACACACCCTCCCCAAACCCACTTTTGTTGGATTATACTGGGATTGTTGTTGTTGACCTGCCCTGCACCCCTAGCTAGGGGTTTAAGATGATTACATTATTTGTGAGCTATTCAAGATTAATTTGGTAAACACTTAATTCAATTCGGATTTTGTGTAGCAAGCAGCCTTTCAACTACCTTGACTTGTTTAGGAATAAATGAGTGAATAACCAATTCACGTGGAGTCCAACTAAAGTCGAGTAATTTAGATTTTAGTACTCGACTCGAATGACTCATGAGCTTAATCAAGTTTTTTAACTATAAGTTCTTTTTCCATGTAGAGAGGTTGTATTTGGAAAACCCTCGGCTTACAAAAGAGAACGACAAATATTAGTGAAATGCAACAAATAAAGGAAGAGTGAAAGAGACACATGGGTGGGGAGAAAAGAAACATAACCATTGCACCAAAAAAGGGATGTAACCAACTGAGAACAAAATACAGCAACTACACAACAAGGACCCTACGAAAACTGACTACCTCAATATCCCTAACACGCATATAGCTACTCCTATGAAAGTCTACCCTACTACTCTAGTCCTCAACCTCCAAAGACCTCTATCTGTTGTCATGGTCTCGGTGATCTGCAAAAATCTTAAATCCAGCCTAATCACCTCATTCCAACTCTCTTCTTAGGTCTGCCTCTACCCCTTCTCAAATATCCTACAAGGCAACCTCTTGCATCTCCTTACAAGAGCATTGGGTCTACTCCGTAGGTGCCCATTTAATATGAATAAATTAGAAGCAAATCAATAATTGAGCTTTTTCAAACCAAGCTCAAAAGGTCTGGAAAGCTCAAGTTTGCCAATTCGAAAATGATTACATTCGAGTAAAGTTTTGAGCTTTGCTTTTTCATTCAAGCCCATTTTCAAACATGCACTATTTAGCTCGACTTGACTACACAATCTACCTCCTTAGTCTTGCCTATTCTTAGTCATAACCTTGTATCTCTTGTTTTTTCCCCTTTCAAATGAGATGTTTAGTTAATATTCAGACATTAAATATAGCTAACCAAGAGTGAAGAGTCTTTGTGTGTGTGTGTTACAGATTTGTATATTTTGTTTCCCGACATCTGCGGTAATTCCTCTGCATGATCACCCCGGGATGACGGTATTGAGCAAGGTTCTCTATGGTTCCTTGCATGTAAAAGCTTATGATTGGGTTGAGCCAGCTTGCATCCGCAAAACTAGCATAGCAGGTCATGATGAAGGTTAACTTCCTAACCAATTCTGATGGTTAAAGAGCTTATTTATCTTGGTGACTATTTGGTAGGTTTCTTTTTGCTCATCATCTCCAGTTTTGTTTTCTCACCAAAGGCTTGACTTATTTAACTCGAATCACCTCATAAAAACTAGTGTAGGAGTCGCTTATTTGTTCCTAAAATGAGTCAAATCATTGAAATAACACTTTCATCCTCTCTTTTCTTCACTTATTGTTTATAAAATTGTATTTTAGATAAGGAGGGTTAATCTTTCACTGCTTTTTTTATTCAACAAATCTTACATTGTTTATTACTTGTGTTTGGATAATCTAACGCAAAACCGCTGCTGGATTTTAAAGTTAGTAACACATAGTTCATCATCCTAAAATTTCACAAAAATCCATAAATGTTTCATACTTCATATAACATGTTAAATATGAGCGGTGTGATTTAGTATGGAAGAATGTCATTTTTTTGTGAAATTTTAGGATGAGAATTTATGTGCTAAATAGCTTTCAATCCAACTGTGGATTTTGCTTGAAAATGGTCAAAGTTAAAGACACAAGCGTTGTAAGAGTTTATCTATAAAAAAGTAGTGTGATGTTAAGAAGATAATTGAGCATATCTAGCCAGTTCAGCCTCGGTTTCAACATATTCACACATATTGGTCATTTTAGGCCTCCACCAAAGAGGCTCTGATACTATGAAACTGGTTTAACATAAGTTGAAACAGCCTACCGTGGAGTATATCACAAATACTATGTATGGTCTTTGGGAGCTATATTTTGAAAATTTTGTGTAAGATGAACTAATTTTATCTATAAATTTTGGCATTGCTGCAATCTTACCTCACTCATTTTTCAGTGAGATTAGCCAAGTTGGCTGTTGATAGAGTTGTGACAGCACCATCTGCACCATCTGTTTTATACCCCAATGCTGGAGGGAATCTGCATTGTTTCACCGCTGTTACGCCTTGTGCCGTCCTTGACATTCTTGCCCCTCCGTACAATGAAGCCTCTGGGAGACGGTGTACCTACTACCATGATTACCCTTACTCCAGCTTCGGTATGCACTTCTTATTTGAGTATAAAACCTTTCCTACACCTACAACTCCAAGCTTGAGTTTGGAGTTGGGTTGATTTTTTGACATGATATCAGAGACTTGTTGATCTAGAGATCACAAGTCCGATCCTAACCACCACCCAATTTTTAAAAACTTAATGTTCATAAAAGCAAATCTTGCTTGCACATGAGGGGCTTTATTATAAAAACCTTTCTTGGACCACAAGATCAAGCTTGTGGTTGAGTTGGTTACTTGACGCTTCTTTCCCGTGCTCAATTTATTGGAACAAAGGTAGGGGTATGGATGTAATTTGGTCATGTATTGCGAAATTTGTTCAGCGGGTGCAGGAGATAAAGATCATATCGTGGATGAAAAAGAAGACGATTATGCTTGGCTTACTGCAACTGATACACCGGATTATCTGCATATGCGTTCAGGAAGGTATATGGGTCCAGCCATTCGAACTTGGTAGAGCATAGCAAGATGAGCAAATGTGATCTGTTCCAACACTTTTGTACCAGGAAGCGTCCCATCAATTCGTAAAGTAAAAAAATGAGGTTCGGGTTCTATCACTTTCGTGTTTTAGATTAGATTTGGGTCTGCATCATTTGCAAGTTTGTTCACTAGTTCTTGTTCAAACTCCAACTGGTATTAGTCGGAGTCTTGTGAAAATTGGATCTGGTCAAATATCGAGAGGTCTTCTACGAAGCAAAAACGTAAGAAACTTACCCAGTTTGATACCAAGTGTTTCACAGACATGCACAAACAAACAATGATTTTCTATACGTAAGAGACAATGACTGTTTATATGTCTGTGAAACATTGTCAAACTCTTGGTGTCAAACTTGTTGTGACATTAGCACGACTCACTACGAAATGGTTCAAACTAGTAATAGTTCTTTTTTTTGTTCTGAAAAGTTATATGTATTACAGAGTACTAATTTACTATAGGAGAGCCTATAGCGCATGTTACCTTTAGACTTGATATTGCCATCTATTTTTCCAAAATTTCTTCCTTACACATATGGGTTGTGCTAGGGTGCCCCAAATAGATGCCTCCATAGTTGCCCACATGCCTTGCATAGACAGACACAGATGATAATCATTTGTGTCATAAAGATGAATATTGTCTGTGCATGAGGGCGGCCATAGAGGCATTCATTTGGAGCACCTTAGCTTTATTCTACACATATTTAGGGTAAAAATTGACTCCAATTAGAATGAGAATGCATTAAGTCTTTGCTAACAATAATATAAAAAAAGCATACAAAAAAACTAATTTTCATTATTATCTATTGAGTATATTTTTAAATACGAAAGTATGTCTAACTATGGAATCAACAAATACATTTAAAAATTGGACCTTGTAGAAATCTATTAGAGTTGTCTTCACAGACATAGGTAATTTATACCTACACAGACGACAATCATCTATGGACAAAGATGATCATCGTTTGTGTATTATAAAATCATCTGTAATTTTGATCTGGGGAAGCACCCTATTTGTTTTTTAGCATTATTCTTGAAAATTAATGACACAAAACTATATATCTAGAAATGACACATACTTAAACACCCAAAATTATATAACGTTTTAACTGATTTTGATCGATACTTGAGGCCTCAAAACTATACTCTCTCCATCCCAAAATAGATTATAATTTTTTTCTCTCCTCTCGATAACTTTTATTTATTTGTATTTTCATTGAGTGTTTGATAAAACAAAATATTCTTGTCACCTTTCGTTTTGTAGAACTTTTAACAAAGTTTTTAAATATGTGATTTTTATTTATTATTGATGTAATAATTTATAAATAAAATGATTTTAAAAAATGAAAATTTTTAGCTCGTAATTCTCAATTTGTAATCAAATTAAAGAGTTTCATTTGTGTAAATCTGTACCTGGAGGAGGTCTAAGTAGCGGAATATGCGCGCGAAATGAAGGAATTCAACGAACCAAATTAAATAATTTCAATTAATGGTTAATTCCCTGCGTTTCTCTTTCACTCATTCATTCATCCAACAAAGACTGTTACGAATTACCATAGCTAGCCATTTCAAGCCACAATCAACACCAATCCCATCATCACCATCACCATCATTCTCCATCACCATTATCATTCTCTTCACATTCTCCGATACAGCCATCAGATTTCTCGGGCCCCACTCAGAAATCTGATCGATCGCATCGGAAAAAGAAGAAGAAAAAATATACTCCGGAGTATAAAATACAATGGTTCGGGTCAGCAATGCCGTCATCGGCATCCTCAACTCCCTCGCCCTTCTCCTCGCGGTGGCGGCGATCGGGGTGGCGGTGTGGATCGAGTTCAACCCCGGCGCCACCCTGTGCCAGCGGGTCCTCCTGAGGCCGCTGGCCGTCCTCGGCATCTCCCTCCTCGCCGTGTCCGTCCTCGGGCTGATCGGCTCGTGCTTCCGCGTCTCGTTCGTGCTGTACGTGTACCTCACCGTCATGTTCCTCCTCATCCTCGGCGTCGCCGGGTTCTTGGTCTTCGCCGTCGTGGTCACGAATAAGGGCGTGGGGTCCGCCCTCTCCGGGAAGGGGTATAGGGGGGCCAGGCTCGGGGACTATTCGCATTGGCTGCAGAAGTATGTGGTGAATGCGGAGAATTGGGACGAGATTAAGAGCTGTTTGGTTGACGTCCAGTTTTGCCAGCATCTCAACGACGATCAGGTGAAAGCCGTCGATTTTTACAAACACGGCCTCTCTGCCACTCAGGTTAGTATTGTATTTTCTATTTTTACTCCGTATTTTCGTATTATTTTCTCCGGTTGAAGACATTTTAGATTGAAATTTAGCACATTTTATTACTCGGTATGCTAAAACAAAAACTTTGTTTTCCTCATATGCTAAATTTCCAATCTGTTAAAACGACAACAATTGAATTTATTTTTCAAAATTTTTTTTCCAGAAATTATTTTCTTAAATTTATTTTACATATCTCCAAAGCGACCTTCTAATAATACTATATTTGGCTTGTGGAATTCGAAAAAAAAAAGAAATTTTAAAAAAAGTTTCTGTGATTGCGGGTGAAAATTATGTACTCGAATTTTGAAGTATTTTTGTAAAAATAAAACCTATGATTTTTGAGAACATTGCCGCGAATAAATATGAATAAATGTAAACATAGAGCAAAAAAATGCATTGCATGTCTTGATGAATATAGAGTTTTTTGCTTCATTTACACTGGGTTATTCATAAAAGTCTAATGGCCTGTTTGGAAATAGCTTTAGCGATTAGCGTTAGCGTTTTCAAAAGGCTATCTACGGGCAGCTTTTAGCGTTAGCGTTTTCAAATTAATCTGCACCGTTAAAATTTTATTCAAAAAGCTGACGCTAATCGCTAACGCTATTACCAAACAGGTCCTAAAAGGTATGCTTTTCACTCGAATTTTTAGAAATACACTGTGGGTCCGTTTGGTATACAGAATTGGTAGAATTAGAATGTATTTGCACTATCAATTCCAAATCCATATAATTTTATGCTACCAAACATTAGAATTTGAATTGAATTCCTCAATTATTCTAATTCCATAGTTTGAATTTCATGTACCAAACGGGGCCTATAATTTTCCCAAAGTACCCATTTTACCTTCAAACTCTTTAAAAATGCATACATCCCCCCACCCTTTTCCACCTTTAAACTTTTAAAAGTGCACGATTATATATATATTAGTTCTAATAGTTTTATTTATTTTATTCAAGTTTGATTAAAGACGTTAAAGTGTTAAACCAAAAGAAATTCTTACGGAGTTGTGCTTTTAACCATGCACCATTTTTTTTTTAAAAAAATATAAGACTATCAATACATTTATAAAAGTTTAGGAGAAAACAATGGTGGCCTGGACTTTTGAAAGTCCAGGAAGAAAAGTATAGAAAGTAGTAATGCACATACTGCGTACTTTATTAAAAGTATAGAAACTAGTAATGCAATTTTAGAAAGTTCGGAAGGAAAGTATAGACTTTATGAAAATTTTAAAAGTAAATGACGCAAAAATATATAGAAAGAAATTTTCAAGGAGTTGTGTGTGTGTGTGTGTGTGTGTGTGAAGAAGAAGCTAAGCCAACAAGCCTCATCTTGTGGATATTCTTTTAATTTAATGTGGTACTTGGTGATGACTGATGAGTATGTACAGTCTGGTTGTTGCAAGCCACCAATCTACTGCGGGTTCGTGTTCGAGAACGCGACGAGCTGGAGGATGCCGAAGGGGGGGCCCGCGGTGCCAGACGAGGACTGCAAGAAGTGGAGCAACGACCAGACCCAGCTGTGCTTCAACTGCGACTCGTGCAAGACAATGGTGCTGGAGAACATCCGGAAGGAGTGGAAGAACCTGGCCATCCTCAACTTCTTCATCCTCGTCTTCGTTGTCTTCGTCTACTCCGTCGGGTGCTGTGCTCTGAGGAACAACAAAAGTCGAGGATACAACAAGTATAGAGGCTACCCATGAATTATTGAATTTTAATTTATATATGGACGTGACAATGCTGGTATATATATATATATGTGTGTGTGTGTTTATGAATTGCTTGATTCATTTGAATTGTGGTTTGTTATGTTAATATATGGCTTAACTGATCTGTTACAAGGATACTAAGGGGCTGTTTGTTTCAGCCGCTTAATGGTTCGGATGTCTGAATGGTTCAGCACTTAATGGTTCAGACTGTTTGTTTTAGCCTCTTAATGGTTTAGATGTCTGAATGGTTCAGACATTTGCCTTTAAATGGTTAAGTATTATACAGAGTCTGAATAGTTAAGACCTCTTATCTGAATTGATCAGATATTTGCCTCTGAATAGTTAAATAATATACTAGCTCTTAATGGTTCAGACCCCTTACTGGTTCAACACTTAATGGTCTAGACCTCATACTGATTCAGCACTAAGGCTCCGTTCCGTTCAACTTATTTTTTCTGATCTGATCTGATTCTAATAAGTTCTAATCTGATCTGGTCTGATCTGATCTGATCTGATTGGATCTGATCTGATCTGATCTGATTGGATCTGATCTGATCTGATCTGAATGAATCTGATCTGATCTGATTGGATCTGATCTGATCTGATTAATTATGATTTAATTTAAAATTTTAAATCAATAATTTAATTTGACTTTATAATAACATTTGAAAATTGTAATGATAGATCATATTATAATATAATCAACATTTTTTATTTAGTGATTATTTTTTAATAAAATAAAAATAGTCAATTCATATATTAGAATAATCATTCATATTATAATGTAATAATATTTTTATTTTATAATTATTTTTTTGTAAAATTAGAATTATACATTAGAATAAATATTTAATTTAGGTATACATTAAAAAATAATTAAATTTAGATAATCAATATATAGAAGAGATAGTATTTTTATTAAAATATCTCATCCTTATAAAAGATCAAAAGTTTAGAAACTCAAATTACAAGTAGCAATAAAAATATACTCCCTCCGTCCCCCTAAGATGTTCTCATTTTGACTTTTGGTGGTTTTTAAGGAGAGTTGAAAAAAGGTGAAAGTTTACCATAATACCCTTAATGAAAATGGGTGGAGTGTATTAAATGAGGTGGATGAGGTGTAATAAATAAAGTAAGTGGGGGTAGTTGTGGTATTTTAATTGTTAAAAAATGAAATGAGAAGATCTATTGTGGACAAAGAAAAAGGGCTATTGGGAAGATCTATGAGGGACGGAGGGAGTATTTTAAAAGTAGAATTAGATTGCTAATGTAATGATGATGATGATGATGATGATGATGATGATGATGATGATGATGATGATGATGATGATGATAATAATAATAATAATAATAATAATAATTCTTGATGAGATCTGATTTTAATAAGTTCTGATCTGATTGGATCTGATCTGATCTGATTGGATCTGATTTGATTTGATTGGATCTGATCTGATCTGATCTGATTGGATCTGATCTGATCTGATCTGGTCTGATCTGATCTGATATTAATAAAAATAAGAAAAAATAAGTTGAACGGAATGGGGCCTTACCTATTCAAGCAGCCTCTAATATTTATATGTATCCGCTCCATCATCAAGCTAAGAGTTACTTTAGCATGTCAATGGTAGGTACCGGTTAGGGCTACAATATTGACATTTAGTTTTGGGTTTAAGTTTAGCTTGTTTGAGAATGACATTAAGTTTTGGATAATTATAATGGCATAGATTAAATTTGTGAATGTTGAAGTTAAAGAGTGCCATCGGGTGAGTTTTAAAAAATGTTTGTGTAGTTGTTATCACCGGATTATATATATAGTTTGATAAAAAGTAAATATTTTTTAGATTTTTATAAAATGGGGGAAACAATTCGAAAAGATACTATCAACAATTTCATCAACTTAGGGAGCTCATGAAACATCGCCAAGAACTTGAAACAAAACAAAAAAAAGAACGAACACGCTAAGTCGAACATAAACGTATAATATGTAAGCAAACAATGCATTACTTACACTCATAAGAGTAGAAAAAAATGATTCAAAGTCATGCAATTTATTTCCATTACCGGAGGATTGTCTGGTCTATATGGATTGAAGTCATGCAATTCAATTATTCAAAGGTCCTTTTGAATATATTCCTTGAACCCAAATCTATTCAAACATAGAAAACATACTTGCCTTATAGAAAAGTGTTTATTGATTAAATTATATTATTATTTTCTACATCCAAATTTAAGTTGCATGTTTATTATTTACAAAGTCAAACTTTAATCACGTTGTTACCTTATTTGTGTGACCTATTTGACAAAAATATTTAATTTTTTCACTTCTTATTTTATAAAACTTTCGATGTAGTTTTTACATAGATAAACTTCACTTTCTTATTCCTTACCAATTTTTAAATAAATCTAATTGAAAATAACTTCTATCAAGTCTCGTAAACAAAATTAACAGACATTTCATTTTACGACGTAGGGAGTAAAATAAATGAAAATTTTATGGGTCCTAGTTTTAATTGTGTGAGCAACGTATAATTTTAACAAATGAAATTAAAAACAAATTTGCTTTGGATGAATGGAAAATATTGTACGGAGTATAATTTTCTCTTTTAAATAAATATTCAAAAAATAATAAATGAAAAATATGTTTCGGGCCGAAACATTTGGATCGGATCGGAATCCTTCAACTCCCAACTCCGAACTTCTTCAATGCAGTCATTTAAAATGGAAGCGTTTGAGCATAGCTGGAGAAAGATTGAAAGAAGAACGATTTTGTGAATTGCCGCTCCACAAACACAAACATGCCCGAAGGATTTCCGATTTGAAGAAGAAGAAGAAGAAAAAGGGCAAGTCTTTCATCTATTTTGTCGCCCTCTTATCATTTCCGATTTGTGTTTATAGAATTGAATTCTTTATTCTTATGATCGGTCATACACTTATAATAGTATTAGATCAACTTGGAATTAAACTCACTGAATTGAATTGGAATTGTAAAAATTTGATGCCTTTTTCATATAAATTGGTTGGAATTCTTATGTTGTAGTATTCTCTAATTCTTAATTTGGTGCCATTTAGAGCATATTCTCTTCAACATATTTTTACAGAGTATTTTTATTCAAATCAGACTAGATCAGATCTGATCAGAATTTATTTCAAATCAGGATCTAAGAGAACAAGCCTTTAATCCGGAAGAATTTACTCTCTCAATTATCATTAATTCAATTTGCTACCCACACATAATTGTCCTTTTGAGCATTGAGTAAACCATGTTCTTGTTTTTTAACAACAGATGAAGACAGCGAATGAGCTTCAACCTTTATCAGAAATACCCTCTCCTCTTTTATGGGAAATTCTAAGTAGGGTTCCCGTTAAGACATGTTTAACTACTTGTAAGCTTGTTTGCAAGGAATGGTATCGTATCATGAACAGTCCAGAATTCTCTTCTTTCCGCTGCCACTGTGGTGCATCTCGTTTTAACCTCTTGTTTTATAATGATTGGAGTGCTAGAAAAAACTTGGTTTTCAGTTTGGTTGAGATTGGTAAGGCATTAGATCTTGATGATTTGGGTAGATGTATTGTGGGTGTTGATCATTTTATCAAGGGTGAGCCAATAGTTGAATATGGCTTATGGTATACCAAGTCTCATTGCAATGGGGTTGTTTGTTTCGCAAATACAAAGGACTACTCCGTATGCAATTTGGTCACAGGCCAGAGTGTGAAGTTACAGAATCTTCATGAATTGAATAGTGAATCTTGTTCTTTATCTGGGTGTGAATTGGGATTCTGTCCGGTGTCAGGCAAATTCAAGGTTCTCATGATCCTTATGCACAAGGCGGAGAAAGTCTTTCTAGCAAAGATACAGACTGTGGGTAACGGTGAATGGAGGACTGTCGAAAATGTACCCTTAAAGCATCTTGGAGGCAGATATATTTGGAACGGGTGTAGTCATTGGCACGGTGACAACTGTATATGGTCTTTTGAATTTGGCAAAGAAAAGTTCTTGCGAGTCCCATATCCTGATGATGTCATGACTAAGGCCTATCAGAAGAAGAACAAAATGTTGAGCACTTTTGACTCTTGTTTATGCTTGAGTTGTTCCAACTTGGACAATGTGGCTAGTGTTGAGATCGACATATGGATTATGAAAGAGCATGGTGTGAAAGATTCTTGGGTGAAACAATTTGTCATAGTGAGTGATCCATGGTGTGTGCCTCTGGTGCGTATGGGTGAGAGAAAGATACTTGTAACAAGTCGGTGTCAGTTGTATTTATATGATCCACTAACTCACGATAAAATGAGAGTGACGTTTGAGCGTAATGGGACAAGGATTGATGCTCCACGGCTGCCGCCCATTCTACTTGTTGCAAGTTTCTCAAGATTTTAGAAATTCATCTAAATACTCATTCCTTAGTTTTATTTTTTTTCTAATTTACTTATAATTGCGACGATTTTGTGCATGCTTTGAATGCCAGTTTGATCAATGTTAGATGATACTCCGTAATGTTTTTGATCACGCGATCGGGACCCCAGTTCGGTTTCTGCCTGTTTTCTAAAGTTTGGTCTGAATATTTGCAAAACTAACTCTTATTTTATGCCTCGGGTGCTTGGGTGTTTGTTCTATCCATACCATCTTGTGTTCCTTATCAATGTTAAATGGGGAGAAATGGAGACCGATGCTTGCCTGTTCCCACTTTTTTACCAATTTTTTTTAGAATTACTTTTTGTTGGCATCGTGCGTATCTTCACTATATGTCTATATCCCCGTATTAGTATCATATTGTTCATTTTTGACACAAGGCATCAAATACAGATCTCTATTTCGTTACTACATATTAGGACCACATGTAGCTTCACCAAAATCATGCATTAGTATGATATTGTCTGCTTTAGATTATGATTAACTACTCTAATATGAAGTATAATGTGTACAAAAATAATGTTATAATATGATTTTTTTAATAAAAGACTCTTCAGAAAAAGAATAATCTAATGAAATCTCGTGAATAAAGTCTGCAGAGGCGCAGAGGATAAAGAAAGAGACCCTCTATGTTTCATACTAGCTCTTTGTGTCTAAAAGATATTAAAGTCGCCCTTTAGCTAAACAATATTTTAAAAAAAGAATGAAAAATCAAAAAATATAAATAGACAAAAATTTGTTTAGAAAAAGCGTTCTATGAGACATATGTGGGGTATTTTTTACTTTAAAAAATATGTGAAGAGCATACTTTTTTATGAAAAAACAAAAAATATAAATAGACAAAAATTTGATTAGAAAAAATGTTCTATGAGACATATGTGGAGTATTTTTTTTTTTACTTCAAAAAAGATGTGAAAAGCATATTTTTTTATGAAAATAAAAAAGTGTGTTTAGGGACTAATGGGAGGCAATAAATTATTTATAGGGGTAGAAAAAAACTGAACTTATATGGTATCTTATCAAACCGTAATGGTAACAAATTGTTTATCGTGTTTTTGAAATAAAATTATTCTTTTTTATTCCAAACTAATTTCAAATGGGACAAGACCGGGATATAGAAATCGAAAACCGATAATTGCGGACTGAATTTTTTGAGTTAACTATGGGATATCCTAAGTATATATTTTTATATTTTATTTCATCATCAACGGAGTACTCGGTATTTATATGCATTTTTTTTTAATAAAAAATTTATAAGCTGGTTTTTTAAAATGTTATTCTTTTCCACTGTAGGTGTAGGACTTCGATTTTATTCAATTCAAGACAAACTACTCACTTTTTCACATTTATGACTAGTACCATCGAGCTCGTTGTGCTCATTTATATTGATGACCTTTTGTTTTTTTTGAAAGAAAATACTTTCATTGAGGAAAAATAGCCGCATCTACAAAACATACCTCCTCATTCGAGTGCACTATGGATAGTGAATCTGCATGGCCCAAATTGGCAGCACCCAGGCTCCCTTGAATTGGTTTGGTGCTACAACAGCGTTAGACCACTCCTCAGCAATGCTTCCACCTAGGGGTGGGCACGGGTTGGGCCGGTTCAGGTTTTATATCGTCCTGCTTTTTGTATCTCTTTTTTCAAGCGTTCTTGAACAATTCAGGCTACAAGCTTATCCCTCTTTGTCCCTTAATATTTGGGAACGAGATGAAACAAAAGAGGTTCCGGTTGTCCTGCTTTGACATTGTCTCAATTCAAATTGGATATAAAAATATACTCCCTCCGTTTGGAAAAAGTGTTCCTATTTTGACTTTGTGTAAAAATAAGGAAGTGTTAAATTTTAGTTGACTTCCCATTTTGCCCTTGATGTGATATGTAAAAGTAAGATGTGATGGATATATTATTAGAGATAAAGTATGATGTGATAGGTAGGGTATGAAAAAGTAAGGGTAAAAGTGAGTTTTTAATAGAAAGTGGAAGTGTTTTGTTGGAAGTGAAAAAAATGAAAGAGGAAGTGTTTTAAAAAATGGATGGAGTAATTTGTAATACAAATGTGAGAGGAAACCTACTTTTATTTGTAAAGTAATGAAAAAAATAATGATACTGTATTTATTTAGAATGTCTTATAAAAGTCAAAACAGTAAAGAAACATGAAAAATGCTAAGACATACGTCAAAACTCAAAACTATAAACTTCATAAAAATATGAGCCACGAACTAGGGTGAGACCGGTGGATTTTATATGTTTAGTCCTAAATCATTTTTTTGAATATTTGAATGATTTAGATATTTGTTTGTATCTATGTTGAGGAAGATATAGGTCAAATTTTATTCTGATTGACTCTACAAAGTCGAAAATTGATTAACACTTCAAGATGGAGTGAGTTTTTTTAAAAGAAATTGGACCAATAAAAGCAAAAATAACTTATTATTATTTTAAAAAAATCATGAATGATCCCTAATAATAGTAATTTTTCATGTTTAAATAATCTTCAATTTTTAAATATTATCGTATAAATAGTCCTTTAAATAAAAATATGACAAAAAACTTTTTCCACATACAGTCCTTGAAAGACGGAATATGAAATAATTTCCAAAAAATTAAGGATCTTTTATGTAAAATATTAGAATTAAAGACTAAATATGGAAAATCAAGTTGAATTAGATATCATTTATTAAATTTATTTTAAAAAAAGTTGAACAAATAACAGTAACTTGTTATTATTATTGCTTGATGTTTGTATTTTGTTAAAACATGCCTCACTCTACAATAAAGGTAAAAACGTTTAATAGAATCCCGTGGATACCAATATATTTCCTCTGTCATGAAATGATCTTTCTAGACACCATTTGTATGGTTAAATTTTAATAATTTTCTTTACTGATTTTTGTTGGTTATTTAATAATATAATATAATCATGTCACTGTTGTTTTATAAAAATTTTGATATGAGTAGTTTTTAGATATATAATTTTTATTTTTGAGTTTTACACTTATAATCAAATAAATTTAACTAAGAATAACTTTGGTCAAACCTTGTAAACTAAATTGGGAAGATTATTTTAGGACGAAGGAATTAATTTATTTAAGATGCCGAGTATATAATAATGAAACTCGTTTGAAAAAATAAGAAAACAGGTTTCACTCTCTTTAGCATGAGCGTATTCTATTCTTATTTAATTTTCATATAAAAGAAACAAATCAAAATATAAAAATGTTTTTTCGCAAAAAAAATATCTCTTTTCGACAAAGTGTTCACGAAAACTATGTTCAAAATTAAATCTATATATAAATGAAAAGTGGGATTACTTTAGGCAAATTTACTTTTTACTTTTTTAATTTTAAATTTAAAATTAATATTTTTAAAAATATGACAGTACACTCTTGTTAAAAATTTGTCTAACGATTTACAAATTTTGTTTTCTATTCTTGGAAAAATATAATATTGAATTATCAAAAATATTTTAGAGAATCAAACCAGAAAGAAATTGCAATACAAAAAATGTAGTAAGCTACGGAGTATAAAATTAGTTAGTGCCATTTTGGAGAAAAAAATATTGTGTCATTTTCACAACTTTTGAATTACTATTTTGGAAAAAATTTTGTACTGAACTATCAAAAAAACACAAATTAGGTAGTTCTATTTTAGAAAGAAAATAATATAGGCAATAGAAGATTATCAAATATTTCAGAGTGTTGTTCATGAAAAAATTGCAACACAACAGAAAATGTGGTGACTTGTAAAAATAAAAGTTCCATTTTAGAGAAAACTTATCGTGTTATTTTCACAATTATTGTAATGTTGTTTCTCAAAAAAGTATTCACAAGTTTCTTAGTGCCATTTTTTAAGAAATAATGATACTCCCTCCGTTCTCAAAAACACTTCCTCTTTCATTTTTTCCACTTCCAACAAAACACTTCCCCTTTCTATTAAAAAACCACTTTTACCCTTATTTTTTCATACCCTACCTATCACATCATACTTTTTCTCTAATAATCTATCCATCACATCTTACTTTTACCCATCACATCAGGGGCAAAATTGGAAATCAACTATAATTTAACACTTCCTTATTTTTGTCCCCAAATCAAATGGGAAGGGTTTTTCCAAACGGAGGGAGTAATATAGTACTCCCTCCATCCTAATTCTTTCTTCCCAGTTTGACTTTTCTCCATTTTTAATTTTTGGCTTTTGACTTCAAATTTTACCCTCTTTAAAAAAGATTTTTTGAAATTTTTTTTGCAATCTTTCAAAATATAGAGTTAGAAGATAATTGGTGTAAATAAATGAGAGTATTAACTATTAATGTCATTTGTCACCTTTTTTTTCTAATGGGAAGGTAGTTTTAGGATGGAGAAAAAAAGAGAAGTGGGAAGAAAGTTTTAGGACAGAGGGATTATCAAATAATAATTCGAAGTGTCGTTGGAAAAAAATTGCAACTTACATATAAAATGTAGTGAATTATGAAGTAAATAAATTAGCTCTATTGTGTAGAATAATTAATTTTTTAAATTATTATCAGATAATCGAAATTGAAAAAATAATTAGTTACAAAAACACTTAAATTTGGTATTATTTTCCAAAAAAAGTTAAAAACACATTTAAATTTAAAGTTAGAACTTAAAAAAATTAAAAAAAAAGAATTTACCTAAATAATTCCCACCTTTCATTTCTTTGCGAAAACGGGTATTTTTAGACCTGTGTAAACAAGGATCCAGGCCGGGCTTAATACAAATTATTAGCCCATTAACATGGGCGGGCCTGACCCGGCCCGGATCTAATGGACTAAACTCTTTACCCATACCCACCCTTTAGCGGGCCGAACTATCCACCCGGCCCCCGTCCCGGAAAAAACATAAAAAGAATATTGAAAAAAGAAATCAATGTTTAAGATGAAGTCACCAAAAGTAGATAAACATACCCCACTGTAAACTAAGAGTTCCTATATGGTACAACCGGATGTACCTAGAGATGGGTACATCCGGGGCAGTAGTAATCATTCTGAAATATTGTGGTACTCATTTTCGCACAAATATAATTAACGTGGTATTCATTTTAAAATAATACTGTACTCATTTTCACACATTGGTTCAATATAATTATAATATTCAACTACAAATAATGTAGTGTTCATTCTGAAACAAAACGGTACTCATTTTCAAATAAATTAGTATTCATTCTCATATAAAATAAAATTCATGCCATAAATAATTTCTTTCTCTCCTTCGCCTCCGACTAGGGTTTTTATCAGCACCGAGCAGCAGCTTCCTCGGTCTAGGAGCACCTCTCTTTTCCAATCAGATTAGACCTTTCCTTTCTCCTATTCCGATCAACGCAGCCATTAGCAGCTTCTCTCGGCCAAGGAGCACCTCTCTGATTCCTATCGATGCAGCTTCTCTCGGCCTGACCCGACCCGATTAAACCTCCTTTCTCCTCAGATTCCAATCGATGCAGCTCTTCTTCTTCTTTCTACTTACCGGTTGTACCCAAAATTGGGTACAACCGGATGTATAATATAATTTGCCGTAAACTAAAGAAACAAAGTCTAGGTTCAATACTAAAAATAAATATAAGACAAATTTAAGTTTTTTGTTTGTTCATATCAAGGCAAGCAACAAAATAGCTCTTTGGACTTAATTAATGAAAGTTGATGGAAGTGGCAGTGGAGTCTCTTGAGGCCAGCATTACATATTTTTAAATTGAGGAAACTGCATCATCAAGCTTATGTAGTAACACACTGCATGCAAACTTGCCTTCCAAGAGGAGAAACCTAAAAGCCATACCACAAATAATTAATTGCAGTAGTACTGTACTTTACAACAAAAGGAAATAGAAGAAAGAGTAAGTTACCAACAAAATAACATATTATTGTGTTCGGGTATCAGCATATTCCTCATCACTTTCACTCATTGACAAATAGCAAGACTTAAATATACTTGTTGGACCTTGCAACATACAAACAAAACATCATATTCTAAAATAAAGGAAAGCAATTGAAAGCTTGAATGACAGAAAATTAGAGTCTACTCGGTTCAAATCCTTGTGCACGCAACCAATCTTCATAACATGAAAGGGCATCAACTGTTGTTGGGGAAAGAGAACTTCTACACGGGCTTATTGTTTTTTTACTCAAGCTAAATGCAGATTCGGAAGGAACTGTAGAGATAGGAACACTTAATAGATCACGAGCCAATGCTGATATAGTGACAAATCTATTTGCATTTTGCTTCCAATATTGTAAAATATTAAGGTCTTCTTTCATATTAAGTGGTTTTTCCTCCAAATAAAGATCTAGCTCAGACTTAGTTTCTGTCCTCCTTTTCTTGATCATAAATTGATACAAATCTTCATCATCTGATTCGCTATTTAATACAACTTCAGATCTGAAACGATTAGCCAACATATTTTCCCCAAGCTCAATTGGAGTTTCACAAGACTCAAGAGACTTAGAACTGTACTCATCAAGCAATTCAACTAGAGTACTCTTAATCTTAGCCACCATAGTCTTACCATATTCTTCTCCATACAGCTTCTTGTACAAAAATCCAACTCCATCTAGTTTTAAACGAGGATCTAAAACTGAAGCACATGAAAGAATGAGATTGTAATCCTACCAATACTTATCAAACTTAATTTCCATTTTATCCACCATTGTAGATAAAATACTAGGAGGGCCAGCTTCTACCTTAAGTAGCATCCTATGAATTTTCCACACTCCACAAAAGTATATATTCGAGGTTGGAGACTTAGAAGCTGAAAATTCATTGGTTACATCATAAAATACTTGCAAGAACTTCTTAAGCAAAGATACTTTTGACCACTCTTCTTCACTTAGAGCATAGTCCTTCATATCTAAGTTCTTATTAACAAAACTATCAATAGCATCACGAAAATATATAAATCGATCTAACATGGTGAAAGTAGAATTCCATCTAATGGGCATGTCTAAACGCAACTTCTTGGTAGTGTTTAGCGCAAAATTAGTGGAAGCAATCTCGTAGAACTTCTTGTTTTTAGGCATGGAATGTCTCAAATGTGACACAATCTTCCGTATCTTAATGACAGCAACATCAATCAATTTCAAACCAGCTTGCACAATCAAATTAATTATGTGGCAAGAGCACCGGATGTAAAAAAATCCCCTCGCAACATCAAAGAATTTTTCCTTAACAAGTGCCTTTTAAGAGAAGAAATCATAGTGTCATTATAGGATGCATTATCGACTGTAAAACAAAATACCTTTTCAGATATTTTCCAATCACCCAAACTCAGTAAAACCTCATCAGCAAGAGAAGCACCATCAAGTGAAGGAGATAAAGCACCAAATTTTATGATTCTCTTTTGTAGTTTCCATTGTCTATCAATCCAATGTGCAGTTATGCACATAAACTCATCACCCGTATGTTCACTCCTCCAGTTATCTGTAGTGAAACTTATACGGCCTGGAGCACATTGCAACTCTTCATGAACAATAAGCTTATGCTTCTTATATTGACTCAATATATCTCTCTGAATTGTAGTCCTACTTATTTGATGGAAATGAGGGGCAACAACACTCATAAAATACTTAAATCCTGGAGACTCCACCATACTAAATGGTTGTGCACAAGAAGCATAATATTCAAGCCTCACAAATTGCATCCAAACTAGGTAAAGGTCTGTTTAGTGACAAACTTGTACTAGTCTCTGGTCCAATTGTCACACTATTACTAATGCAAAAGTTTTTTAAATCACGATACTTACGTGCAGAACAACGATCAATATGCCTTTTGATGAGATGTGCCATTAGTACTATTAGCAGTAAAAACCTTATGACAGTGATGACAAGTTGCACGAATGTTCCCACCTCCCAAAACTTCTCTATCCATATTCTGCCAAACATCAGAAATTAATTTTTTTTCCCTTTGAGCTGCAAGTTGCATTCGTTGTGCTCCCACTACCACAAAGCTCTTCGGGAGATGCTTGGACATTTTGTACCTCTATTGAATCTCTTTGTTGTTCTTCTTCTCTTCTGTAAAAGTGAATACATCAAAACATAAATTTTAAAAAGTGAAAAGCTCTTCGGGCCGGAGGTCTCTTGCTCTTCTTGATGCATCAGCACCCAAATCCAGAACTCCAGAAGCTAATTGCCCCTTCCAGCAACTCAAAATTATTTCCTTTATTACTTATTCATTTATGATTTTATGGTTAAATAATTTGGGCTAAATTCATTAAGCATGGGCTAAGATGATTTGGGCTATTTTTTGTAGAGAGGGATGAGTGAGAACTTATCATTGTAAATGGACTAGGTAATTCATAAAGTAAATGTAATTGATAAATATGGGCGGGGCGGGCCTGCTGGCCCGGACGGGCTAAAGGTAGGTTCCATATCCGTCCAAATACAATTCAGGCTCGGGCTGACCCGCCCATATAGGTATTAAAGCATGTCCATATCCATCTTTTTTAAAGGGCGGGCTTGGCGGGCCGGACGGGCCGGCCCTTGTTTGCACAGGTCTAGTATTTTTCAAAAAAATCTATTAAGTGACCATTAGTTTTTTAACAGCGACCTAAAACTCGCACACATGCAGAAATGTGGGATTATTTCTAATGACAGTGAAAAGTGGAGTTATTTTTGAAAGAGCATGAAAATGTGGAATTATTTGAGATAATTTTTCCTTATTTTTTTTAAAAAATACTCCATAATTGATAGCCTTTACTTCATTATGACACAAGGATCCATTTTCTCTGTGTTGTGCCAGGCCCTTAATTCCTCGGGGACGACCCCGGTTAGAAAGGTAGGAACCACTTTGGGATCTAAGGAGGGGTCTCAAATAATGTGCCTTCTTTTTTGTCCCAATTTCACTCCATGCTCCACATTACATTTTCCATATTGAAAAGCTAAAAGGAAAATGTTTGCCTTGTTAGATGTGAAATTCCACAAAGAAGGAAACATAGTAGAGGAGGAATTACCTCAAAAACTACGGAGAGTATATCGCCCACCTCAGGGCCCTCAAATACCAAACTTTCTTGTTTTCAAAAGGTCGAAATAAGGAGGCTTGCAGTCCTTTCGTCCGCGAAACATCATCAACATGTGTTGCCTTAATTACAATGAAGTATACTCTGCCGCGAGGTTTATGAAAATGTAAACCCATTCTCATCATGGTCACCTTATGAAACTCAAAAGTTTCTCCCATCTAAGCACACAAAATAGTAATTAAAGACAACTTGACAGATAACTAAACAAAAAAACTTTCATAAAACCCCTTGATGAGTTGAGGTTCGGGAAAAAAGTTACTCCCCCAGTCACAATATATTTGTGAAGTTTGACTTTATTTCTGTGTCAAACAAAATAAACTTAAAGTTTCAATTAAACAAAAATTGTAATGTATATTAATATAAAATATTTTTATTAGATTTATCTTGAGAAGAACTTTTTTAATTTTATTTCATTGTACGAAAATGCAATACGAATTGCGAATAATTAAAGTTCAAAGTTTTCCCAAATTGATTTGAAAATGTTAAATTAGACAAATACACTAGGATGGAGGCAGTATTTAATAGCCTTAATAATTTGTAAATCATCCAACTAATATTTTTAACCCTAAAAGCTCCTTAATAGTTGAGGATAAAATGTACAATGAATTAAAATGTAATAATTATACCGAAAATAGAAGACTAATTAAAAAGGTTTAAGGGGGTCAAATAAATTTAATAATTCTCCGTAGTTGTTAAATACAGAAAATTACTCATAGGTGACACATGTTTTGTCGAAATGACTCTGAGGCCCCTCTATTTTTAAGAATGAAACAGAAGTCCTTAAATTTTGTTGTAATGGCTAAGAGGGAACATTTTGTCTAATACTCCCCCGGTCCCTCCGTCCCTAAATATTCACAACATTAGCTTTTTCAGCAGTCGCAGAAACTTTTGTTTATTTCGACGTTTTCATTGGTTATTTGGTAAAATAAAATATTCTTGACACTTTGTGTCTGTGTGTCTGTGTTGACTTGGTGTACACTTGGGTACCCCATGTTGGTATACCCCTCGCTTAAATTTTTTAATATCCTTGGTAAATACAAGTACAATGGCTACAATTGAAAGGGGAAAAGAGTAACCTTGTTTTGCTTGTTGAAAAAGTCAATGGCTACTCTGGCACCATCACTAGCTTCATTGAAATACCAGTCTGCCCATGGTGCGTCCGAAGGGTAGTCCAATAACGAATGGCCCATCTAAAGAAAAGAAACTAATTCAACAATCCCTTATGAACAAAGATCAAAGAAATCAAAATAATACTGCAACTACTGCGCATGAATCTCAATTTACATCACCTTTAGCTCAAAGCGTCTTCCGGAACGGGGATCATCCCCGGGATCGAACGCTTCTGTAGATAGATCAAAGAAGGAATCATCCATATCGTAATCCCGAGAGAAACAGAGCCAATTCAATCTGCTCCACTTGGAGAAATTCTCAGTCTCCCAAAAATCGCGATCCCCGACCCTGAAAATCTGCGTGAAGTCTTCTCCCTCGAGGCCCCTTCTCGCTTCATCGTCCTCGCCTTCGCTTGCCTCGTCCACCTCCATGTCTCCTCCCTCTTCTTCCACGGAGATTTGTTGATCCTTTTCTTCTTGATTTTCGGAAATCCCGTCCTCAGCGGAGATTTTTGTGTCGTCGTTCATGGCTATAGGCTATATCTGATTTTGGGGCATCCATACCGTTCGTTGAAACCCTATAGGCTATATCTGATTTTGGGGATTTGCGTAATTTCTTTAAGGTTTAGTTTGACATGCGGAATTTAAATTATGAAATTAGAATAGAAATTTTAATTTAGATTTTCGTATTTGGTAGCATAAAAATTATGTGAACTTGGAATTAATAGTGCAAAAGATAAATTAGAATTGGTGAATTTATTTATATGGAATTGAATCCCATGAAGTTTCAATTCCAATTTCATCAATTTTATATACCAAACGGACTCTAAATAATTATCATATTTTGTTTTTCATATTTAGTTCTCTATTATTAAATATTATTATGACAGTCCTTTTAAAAATGTCTTTCCACAAACAATCTTTTTTTATCATCTTTCATATAGGTGCTAATTTGAGGACTAAAATTGTAAATTTCACAATGATCATGTATCCTTCCTCTCATACACAATCTAAAAGCCGCTCCTGATGCATCGTTTACTAATTACAGTCACTTTCAACTATAATCATAGTTTACAGATTTTGTCTTTCGTCAAAATCTTGTCCACAGTCACAATCATTAGTTTTTGTATTATTCGTCTAATCGATATCAAAATACATCACTAGATAAAAGGTTGATGTCAAATTATATTTTTACACTTCAAATTAATATCAACATTATAGAAGCAAAAAAGGACTATTTGTGAAAAAGGTACATATACAAGAAGGACTACGGGGATAATTTATGATAATAGAAGACTAAATATGAAAAATCATCTGTTATAAAAAACAAATTGTGGAACTTTCTAAAATAGTCCTTGCCTTTTTCTAATTTAGTCCTCAATCAATTTTAATTGCTTACATGGTCTTTTACAATTGAGATTGCTTCCTCATGTATTCCTTCGTAAATAATGTTGGTTAAATAATGGTTAATGAATGACTATTTTGGTATTTCTATCATCTAATTTTAAAATATATTCTCGAAATGATAATTTAAATGCAAAATTAAAAAAATACATTGACTATACATAACCCATGAACATTAAAAACCTATAAAAATTAAAATTTAAATACACATCTTTAATAAAAAAAAGTCATTTTGAGAAAGTAAATCATTAGAAATGATCATTTTAATAACTTATTCTAAATTTAGCTGATAAAAAATACGAAAAAATACCATCTAATTAATCATTATTTGAGATACACTAGACTCGTACTCGTGCATTGCCTGGCCTAATTATATACTATATAATTAGAAAATGCATTTATGAAAGAAAATGATAAAATTAAATTATAATAATAACATACTACCTCCGTCCCACTCTCTTTATCCACTTTTGACTTTTGGAACTGTTCATCTAAGCACTTTGACTCATCAAATTCTCTCAATGTGTAAGCTTAAATATAGTCATGTGTGATCTTGTTTGATTTGTCTTAACATATAGATTATTAATATATAATTTCTATAATTTTTTAATATACATATTATAAGATAAAATGAATTAAAGAAGTGCATTGGATGGTGTGCCAAAAGGTAAGTGGACAAAGAGAGTGGGACGGAGGGAGTATAATCAAATAATAAAGAAATTGTAAATACAATACATGTTCATCATAAAAGATCACTTCTATTGAATCTATTCCTCTAGCCCAAGCCAGAACAAAGTAGACACAAACAGCTTGTGGCATACACATCCAAGTGGTTTGACAATTGTGAATCTTGACAAGCGCATTTCACATACTCTTTGAAATATTTTGAAACATTTTTCTAAAAGTGGGCTAAATTGGGATGAGAGATATGAAATGTTTGGAGTATAAATAGTATATATAATTGGAGAATCAATCTACTCATTAAATATCTTGATTTAGTGAATATATTTCTTTAATATGATTCGACACAAAGTATGTATGGAGCCACGTACCGACTTTTATTACGCACATGGTTCCATAGTAATACAATTCCCATTTATTTATTTTGAGTTAACATAAAGTTTGCATCGAGTCACGCACCAATATTACTACGCGCGCGGTTCCATACCAATATACTGCACATTTATTTATTTTGATTCGACAAAAAGTTTACATCGAGTCACGTACCAACTTTACTACGCACGCGGTTCCATAGCAATACACTACCTATTTATTTATTTTGATTTGACATAAAGTTTGCATCGAGTCACACACCAACATTACTACGCACGCTGTTCCATATCAATATACTACTAATTTATTTATCTTGATTTGACACAAAGTTTGCATCGAACCACACACCAACATAACTACGCACGTGGTTCCATATCAATACACTATCCATTTATTTCGATTTAACATAAAATTTGGAAAATGAAGTTATTAATCCATCCATTAAATGCTTGGAAATAAGAAAGGTATAAATTAAATGGATTTGACATAAAACACATTGAGCAATGAGATAGATTTGATACTACTTGTACTTTATGGATAAATGCACCTATGATTTGAACTGAAGATGTCCAAGCTAGCAACTGCGTCAGTCAGCAGCCCACTTGGCCCAGTCCATACTCGAACTTACTACCTGCCAGTCTGCCCACTTGTCCCGGTCCATACCCGAACTCGCTACCCCATGATTTTGGCGGGAACACTATTCCCAAAACCATCCTAGCATTGTATATAGTAGGATTACTCAGGTACTTGCCAGGGTAGGGACGGGAGTGGGAGGGGGGTTGGGGTGGGGGCTGGTTGGGGTTGGGGTTTGAGGGAGGGTTAGGGGGTAGGTATTGTCATTTTTACAAATGAGATTTTGTAAGTGCCTCAAACGAAGTAATGTAAGCAAATGACACTAGTAGTACTAATGTGGTTTTAGACTTATTCAATTAATATATCACCTTTTTCATATTTCTCTTATTGAAATCTTTGGATATCATTAGTTCCGATAGTATATTTTAAATTGGATTTTCTAAAAAAAAATAAGATAAAGTACTGTATAAGTCCATGTACTACCTACAAAGTTCAAATTAATCCATGTACTCAAAAATCATGCAATTTAGTTCCCTTACTATTTTTTTGTTCAATCACGTCATTCTATTTAGTTTTCTCATATATAGTGCCCCAAATTCTTAGCATTTTATTTTGTCATAGATGATATGAAAATATTGATTAACATAAATTTGAGTCACCGGGAGGTGCAAGATGGATGCTGAGTTTTTCTATGAATGAACCTCTAGCTCCATAGATTAACTCTTTAGTCAAATCAATTGTGAATGTCTCATTTATAGCGGAAGTTTAGGAGCTCGATTCTACTAAAAGTTTGAGGTAGATTTATTGGAAACCTCAGGTGATCAAGAGCCTTATGTCGAGTTAAAGCAAAACCAATGAAATTAATCAAACAATGATCAAGAAGTTTGTAGAACACTAGAATTGATCAATTAATATGTGATGACTCGTTTTGCACAGAAACTTAGGAACTTGGAGAGACAAAAGAGTTTGGAACTTGAGAGACAAAAGAGTTTGGATATACTTCATGAGATGGGCTCTTAGGTCATCTTTTCTCCAACTTACTTTTTTACTTATTATTTATTCTTACTAGAATTAGATTAAATCAGATCATATCAGATCAGAAATGATGGGTGTATTTCACCCATGACCGGTCAAGGGTCCGAATCAGAAAGTTGACCGGTCAAAGAAGTCGAACTCGAAAGGGAGATCTGAATCGTCAGCAAAGGGATGGCTGGTTGACCAGAAAGTTGACCGGTACACTTCGGGTTAGTATACCGGTCAAACTACTCCATCGCCTAAATTCGTCCTCCGGAGTTAGCCAGACCAGCCCTCAAAGATCACCCGGTCTAGTTTCCGAAGATCGGAGAGTGTCGGCAGGAGGAATCCAAAAGGATTTGGACTATAGTGGTTGGCGTTGCGGAGATGCTGAGGGAATATTTCCGAACCAGAACACGACGAAGGCGCAGCCCCCCACGCAAGATGACGAGGCAGTACAGGACCAGTCACCTCGCAGCACATCAGCAGCGTGCCTCCATGTGGGCGCACGTGGCCATGTCCCCCCTTTTAGCCTAGTATAAATACTCATGTAAACCTCAGAAAGAAGGATCCGAATTCACTCTCTCTAAACTCCCTTGTAAAAGTGACCGTGCATTCTTTGTTTTAATACAATTCGGACTACAGGTGTTCCACCTAAAGTCCTACCGGTCGTTCCGAGTGTTTTTACCTTCTTTACTTTACTGAATCAAGCCGACTATTCTGGACCCGGTCTAGTATAGTTTGACCGGTCAAGTAATTTACACCATCATTTTTGGCGCCGACCGTGGGACCGTTAAGGTTTCCTCCTAAATACAAACCTACCCACAAAAACACCACTCAAAATGTCTTCCAGCCAGCAAATCAACGCTACCTCTGCTCAGGTGCAAGCCACCACTGAGGGTACCAGCATCCCCATGGTTGCTACCCTGCCAGCCGTTTCAACTCCGGTTTTGCCGTTGGGACTAAGCTCGGTCCCAACACCCAGCATGGTAAGCCCATTCACGGCCCCCGTCCCTTCCGCTGGACCGAGGGTCAGTTTCCCACCAAGCATGACTCAGTTCATGAATGACCCAGCTAACCTGCAGGCCATCCAAGGCTTTGGCCAGGTCATGGCCATGTGCCAACAGAATGGGGGAATGCCTTTCCTCCCAGGGATGTTTCCATTCGCCCTTCCAGGTGCTGGAACGGTGCCCCTTCAAGCTCCGATGGCAGTGAGGCCATTCCAGACGCCGGTGCCGCAACCATCACCTTTCCAACCACAGCTGGTCAGCACCATGGCACCTGTCAACTTGACTGGTGCGCTCAACGCCGCAGGGCCGTCGCGTCCCCCGCAAGGTACGAATCCATTAATCACCCCTGATGGTCACTGCGTCTCAGTGGAGAGCGGAGACGATGAGTGGGACATTCCAAGGACCCACAAGAAGAAGAAGGGAAAAACCATCCGACCCGCCACCTCCCGAAACTCCGCCTTCGAAAGGCTGGGGGATAGGGAGGAGGGCCAGAGAAAATCAGCCAAGCTAAGGTTGGGGCAAAGCGTTGCCCATGTCAGCGCGTTTGCCCGGTTAGGCGAGATGAGGGAGGCCGAGCCTGCCCGCACCCAACGCTCCCGGTCAAACCGGCAGGAGCCAGCCAGGACGAGGGCCTCTCGTCAGGAGGAAGAGGCAGAAAGCCAACCCAGGGTACCGGTGGCTAACCGGTTAACCACCCCCAATGATCGCGTCCAGCAGATGGAGGCAAAGCTGGAGAGGCTGGAGAAGAAGGTTGGAGATAAGAATGACCGGGACAAACCCCTCGCAGGGTCCCCGTTCACTACAAGGGTCCACCTGACACCTTTCCCACGAAAGGTCAAGATAGACACCCCAAGGTTTACCGGCAAGGAGGATCCAGAAATACATTTGGATTCTTTCAACCAAAGTGCAACTATGAATGGTTGTACGGATGAAGAAAAGTGCCTCCTTTTCTTCCAAACCCTGCGGAATCGAGCTACTGAATGGTTCAACAAACTTCGCCCGGGAAGTATTGACTCATTCAGTGACTTGGCCTCAAAATTTAAGGCCAAGTTCCAGGAAAACTGTACTAATAAGAAGAAATTCACCTATCTTAGTACAGCCGGGCAGAGGGAATCTGAGAACCTCACTCACTTCCTTACACGGTGGAAGGAGGAGGTAGACAAGGTTGAGGAGATGGACGACAAGACGGTGCTGTCCCTCCTCCTGAACGGCTTACGTGCCGGGGAACTATACAAGGAATTCTGCCGAAAACCCCCGGCCACGTATCAGGAAGCCTACCATACTGCATGGGAGTTCGCCGAGGCTAAGACTCAACTCCGGGCAAAGAAAGAAGCCGAGCATGGTTACAAGCCTAAGCCGGTGCAAGTCAAGAAGGAAGAAGTGCCGGTACCCAGCCGGCCAAGGCACCACTATGACCCGATAGTCCGAGTGGTCAATTCAGAAGAATGCCAGGAGATCAGGAAAGCACTGGTCAATCCTCCGGACAATCCTACCGGTCAATCTGGGCGTCAGTGGTCGGGCACCTATTGTTCATACCACAGGTCAGATTCCCATAGCACTTCCGAATGCAAGAGTGTTAAGGGGGTAATCCGGAAAATGATAGGCAGCGGAGAACTGGGCAAAGAATATTTGCAGAAAGCCCAGGAGAAGAGTCATCAATGGGTTAGACCATCTTTCCCGGAGGATGACTGGGACAACGACCGGCGGAGGAATAACCGTCCGAAGGAGCGGCAACTTGCCCCTGAAAAGGAACACATCGGCATGATCTTCGGTGGACCTGAGGGTGGAGACTCAACCGCGCAACGGAAGAACTGGTTCGCAGCATTTACGTTGGTGAGGTGAGTACCGAACCGGCCAGGCGTAAGTATCCCAGGAGGGAGCCAATAGTCTTCACTGACCGGGACCTCCCTCCTACCGGTGAGGATCACAATGATCCATTGGTCATCACCATGGACATCAACGGGGTGGACGTCACCCGGGTACTTGTTGACACCAGCAGCAGTGTCAACATCCTATACCTGGAGACTTTCCAAAAACTCAGGTTGTGTCGAACACAACTTGAACCCCTCAAAACTCCTCTCTCAGGTTTCACGGGAGACACAGTGGAAGCTGAGGGGTCCATAGTTCTACCGGTCGAACTAGGATCGGGCGAAAAGACCGTGTGGAAGAAAATGCGGTTCATCGTTGTGGACATCAAATGCGTCCACAACGCCATCCTTGGAAGGCCTGGCATCAACAAGGTTGGGGCGGTGATTTCCATGCCTCACCTATGCATGAGGTTCCACACTCCAGGCGATGTGGGAGAAGTGAGGGGCGACCAGAGGAATGCCCGGGAGTGCTATGCCCGGGCGGTTAAAAAGATGACTAAGGGGGTCAACGTCATCTCCAAAGAAATCACCAAGGGAGAGACCCGGGAGAAATTGGAGCCCGAGGCCGAGACGGTGGAAATCGAACTTCACCCGGGTGATTCTTCAAGGATGGTCAGAATCGGAGCCAACCTCCCAGAAGATCTCAAGGCAGAGATTACACGGGTGCTCCAAGAGTACGCGAGCATATTTGCATGGAGCGTGGCAGATATGCCTGGAATTGACCGCTCAATCATCTGTCACTGGTTGGCAGTTAAGGAGGGAAGTCGACCGGTACGCCAGAAGAAAAGGTACTTGGCCAGCGACCGGCGAGACTTCGTCAAGAAGGAGGTGAAGGACCTCCTTAGTGTTGGTCACATTCGGGAAGTTAAATACCCGGATTGGCTGGCCAACGTTGTCCTTGCTCCCAAAGGCGACACATGGAGAATGTGTGTGGATTATACGGACTTGAACAAGGGTTGTCCGATGGATTCATACCCCCTCCCCAGTCCTGATCAAATGGTGGACGAAACTGCGGGGTGCGAACTCCTGAGTTTCATGGATGCCTTCAAGGGCTACCACCAAATCTACATGGCCAAGGAGGATGAAGAGAAGACGTCATTCCTCACACCCGAAGGAACCTACTGTTACCGGGTAATGGCGTTTGGCTTGAAGAATTCGGGGGCAACCTACCAGCGCATGGTGAACAAGCTCTTCAAGCCACTACTGGGAAAGACCATGGAGGCATACGTCGACCACATGCTAATCAAAAGCCAGGTATCTCTCAATCACCCGGTTGATATGCGCGCCACATTCGATATCATGGCAAGATACAACCTCCGGTTGAATCCCAAGAAGTGCGTCTTCGCGGTTCATGCCGGGAAGTTCTTGGGGTTCATGGTGACCAAGAGAGGAATAGAGCCCAACCCAGAAAAAATTCGGGCTATCACTGAAATGCAGGCCCCACATCTGTGAGGGATGTCCAGAAGTTGACCGGTCGTCTAGCGGCACTCAGCCGGTTCCTTTCCCGGTCAGCTGAAAGGTCCCTGCCTTTCTTCAAAGTCCTGAAGAAGGCCAACACTTTTGCATGGGATGAAGAGTGCCAGAGGGCATTCGAGGAGCTGAAAGAATACCTAGTGTCAGATAATGTATTGTCTAAACCCCAGCCGGGTGAAACTCTGTATCTGTACCTGGGAATTTCCCCAAATGTTGTAAGCTCTGTTTGAATAAGAGATGATGGGGCACAAAAGCCTATTTATTATGTGAGCAAAGCACTAAACGGAGCTGAAAGTAGATACACGGCGATGGAAAAAACAGCCTACCGCTGGGTGCAGTAGAAGTCTTGACTGACCAACCGCTGGGTGCAGTGTTGCGAAATTCAACATCCTCCGGGAGAATGGTAAAGTGGGCCATGATGTTAACTCAGTTTAACATTGAGTACCGGCCAAGGTCAGCAATCAAAGGACAGGCCCTTGCAGATTTCTTGGTAGAAATGACCGGTCTAACTCCAGACCTACCGGTCGACAAGCCTACCGAGCAATGGTGGGAGATGGCAGTAGATGGAGCATCTGGTCCTAAAGGTTACGGGGGTGGTGTAGTGTTTACCACCCCAGAAGGTTTCAAGATCTACCATGCAATCGTTTTCAACTTCAAGCTGACAAACAACGAGGCAGAATACGAAGCTCTGGCTGGAGGGCTCAGACTTGCCCAAGCCCTGAAGATCGACCGGGTCAGTATCAAATCTGATTCCAGTTTGATCGTTGGACAAGTGACCGGTAACATGGAAGCCAGAGAAGGGCGAATGGCGCAATACAAGGACCTGGTGCTTGCCTTGTTGAAAGGCTGTGAGGAATTCAAGATCGCCCAAATCCCCCGGGCGGAAAATGCAGATGCAGACCTTCTCTCCAAATTGACGCAGTATGCTCCCGAGCATGTTTCAAAACTTGCCCGGGTAGAAATTCTTGATCATGCCAGCATTGAAAAATTGGAAGTAGCCGCCATAGCAGGAGCAAGCCAACCTGACCGGTCAAACTTGGTCGGGGCGGATGACCACTGGATGTATGATCTGATGGAATATCTGATGGACGGGACCTTGCCGGAACAAGATGACCGGGCAAGAAAAGTGAAGCTCAGGGCACCCTGGTTCCAAGTCCTTGACGGAAAGCTGTACAAGAGGGCGTTCGGGGGACCCCTCCTGAGGTGCCTAACCAACCGGGAGGCTGAACGGGTCATAGCAGAAGTCCATGAAGGTGTATGCGCAGCGCATCAAATGTCCCGCACTCTTTCCCAACGCATCATCTTGTTGGGGTATTACTGGCCAACAATCGTCCAGGACTGTGAGAGGTATGTTCAGAAATGCAGAACGTGCCAAGTAGTTTATAAGTATCCCGGTAGGCCAGCAACCTACTATCACCCCGTATCGAATGTCATCCCATTCGCTAGATTTGGGGTTGATATTATTGGAGCCTTCCCAGTCGCCCAAGGAAGGAAGAAATTTGTAATCGTGGCCATTGATTACTTCACTAAATGGATCGAAGCCGAAGCGTTGGCCAACATCACCATGCAACAATGCAAAAAATTCATTTGGAAGAACATCATCACAAGATTTGGGGCTCCCATGAACCTAATCACCGACAACGGCCCACAATTCCGAAATCCAAGATTCACCGAATACTTGGAGGGTTTCGGAATCAAGCACAATCGCTCTTCGGTGGCGTACCCCCAAGGAAATGGCCAGGTGGAAAATGCCAATCGAACAATTGTGGATGGTCTAAAGAAGCGGCTGGGAGAAGCAAGAAACAAGTGGCTGGAGGAGCTCCCACATATCATCTGGGCGTTTCGAGTAACACCCAGGAGGGCTCATGGGGAAACTCCCTTCTCCCTAACCTATGGGTGCGAAGCGAGGCTACCCATCGAAGCTGAATTCCCAACGTTCCGGGAGTCAAATTATCAACCCCAGCAGAATGAGGAAGATCACTTGGCCGAACTCAACTTGGTCGAAGAGCGAAGAATGGCCGCGGAAGTTAAAATGAGCACATACCAGCAAGTTGTGAAGAAATACCACGACAACAGGGTTGGGCCGCGATATTTTCAAGTCGGTGATGAAGTCCTACGCAGAAGGGAGGCTAGTAGACCGGGAGACGGAGGAAAGCTGGCCAAGAACTGGGAAGGACCTTACCGGGTGAGAGCTATCATTCGCCCGGGAACCTACCGGTTAGAAACTCTTGATGGTGTGCCGGTAGAACGAACCTGGAATTCTCACCATCTTCGCAAGTTCTACAAGTGATTGTAATACTAGGCAAGGCCTTCTTAAATTATCAATCAAATTAAGGTTCAATACTCTACATGGTAGCAGCAGAGTTGATAGGTCGAACCTATCCTAGGAGGGCTTCCCAGGTGGATCGGATCCATTCGGATAAGCCAACTGAGACACAGGCCCGGACCTGGCATGCTGGTTACTACACCGGTCTTGCTCAGTATAATAGAAAAAATATAAAACCCGGAAGAGGGGCCCGGAAGAGGGTATGCCTGCAAGAGGGCTGGACCTGGAAGAAGGTTCGAACCATACTTACACGGGCCCATGAGGTTTGACCGGCGTTGGGGAATCAGCCAACGCCGTCAAACTGATTGGGGACTAAAAGATGCCCATTAAAAGAAATAGAAGGGGATCGTCCACCGTGGCGCATCCTGTTTTCCCCTTCTCAGGGAAGACTTGAACGGGGGGATGAGCTAAGGCCTTCCCGGGATGGTAGAAATCAAAGGGCCATTAAAAGACTTAATCACCCGGAAGAGGGGGCCCTGGAAGAAGGGTGCATTTGAACCTTGGAGAGGGTTCGAAACCATTCGAACATGGTTAATTCTCTAGTATTCTTACCGGTTAAGGATACTTCAAGAAATTACTAGGTTACAGGTGTTCCATCTACAACCTACCGGTCATAAAAAAAAAAGAATACCCCGGTTGGGTATTGATATAGAGGAACTTCGAAAGTTCCACAAGGCGAAGCAGTTCACCGGGCAGACCGTGGAGAAGGGACCTACCGGTCAAACTTTGCTTCACTTTCAAAACAAGAACGAAGGTGTTCAAAAGCCAAAAAGAAGTTTAGCCGGTCAATCATTCTTCAAACTGACCACCAAGTTGGAGTTCAACCGGTCAAAGTTATTCGAGCTGAATTTTCAAGTAAAGTGATCAAGAAAAACTTGGAAGATCTACCGGTCGAAAACAATTGGAAAGTGGCCTGAAATATCTACCGGTCGGAATTTCTATGATGGTATTCTAAGAAGCAATAAAAGGTAACAATCATGGTGCAAGCAGATATGGAAGGTTAACCGGCACGGAAATTAAGCATTGCATTCAAACAAAACAAGAAAATTAATTGTTTACAAGTACGCTGGGCATCCCCGGGGAAATTTCCAGTTTCAAGTTTACAAAAAAGAACCGGGCACAGCCGGGGAGATTTTCAATTCAAGGGGAAGGGAGGTGCAGGCTCATCATCTGGGATGGGGGCCAGACCGTATGAATCAGCAGTGAAGTCCGGGTCCCGCTCGGCGAGGATCGCATGGGTGGCCTCCCGGCCTCGTTTTTTGCCAGACATGAAACCGTAGGAGCCAATCTGGGTAATCATCTCTTTCCCTTGCTCCTCCCGGTAGAGCAGCTTGAAGCCTTCCATCGTCCTTTCCTAAGAAGAAGTAAGTACTCGGGCAGCTTCCACCAAGTTCTCCTCCATCCACTGGCGGGCCCTACCGGGAAACTCTCGCTCCTTGGCCTCCAACTCCTCCATCAGCTTCAGGTTTTCTTCCTTCAGCTGGAGAGTCTCCGCCTTTGCCCCCCGGCAATCGCTGAAAGATTGGCCATCTCATCTAGCTGCCGGGCCGTCAGCTCCTTAAGCTCCCGGTTATGGGCCTCGAACCTCTTCAACTTTTCTTCCAGCTGGGCTAACCGGGAGGAAGAATCTTCGGTGAGCTGTTCCAAGGCGTCGGACCTGACTTCGCCCATCTATATGTCGAAAAGCACGCCGGTTAGGGCAATGATCAAGCAACAAAGTCAAGAAGACGTACCGGATAAGTGTTACCTCTTTCAGCTTGAGGGTCAATTTGACCCAGAGTTCCTCCAGTGACTCTTCAGCCGGGGCGTTCTCTCCCCTTATCTTCTTGACTGAAGGATGGGTGGTGGCCGCATGCTTCACTCTCCTTTTTCCTTTTCCCTTACTGGGGAAGGATTCACCGCATCCTTCCCTGTCTGAGCCGCCTCCCCGGTCAGAGGAGTTTCCTCCTCAGAATGGATCTCAACCGTCTCCTTCTGGACCGGTATTGTTTTTGAAGATGGACCGGCAGAAGAAGGTCCACCGGTCGTCTTGGGAATGCCGTAGGACCTGAAATTCATATCTGCGGAACAAATGGAGAAGTATAAGTAATTCAACTATGACCGGTGATATTGAACGAAAGAATTAAAGATACCTGGGTGGCTGGGGCCCCCGGCCTCAGCAGTGTTGCCCGGGGAGGGTACCCCGTGCCCCGCTGCCTCCTGGGCCTGAGGGGTACCCTTGCCACCCGGTTGGATCCTCCAGATCCAGGCCCCATAGTGGAACATCTGCCCGGTGAAGGGGTCCCCCTGGAGAAGCTTCTCTAAACTCTCCTCCAAGTCAGGAGCTCTGGCCGGCTCGGTATACTGTGACTTCAGAATATGGTCGTTCCACCTTATCCCGGCCAGGGGGGAAACATCGGGAAATTTTATGAAAACAAATTTCTCCTTCCACTGCTGGTTGCTTTGTGGAAGGTCGGAGATGAATTGGCGACCATTGCGGCCTCTGAAGTAAACATAACCGTCATAACCTGACTTACCGGGGAGGACTTCAAAAAGATAGAGAAACAAGCGAAGGGAGGGATCGATTTTGAGCTCAACACAGATGTTTACGAAAGCATTAAGGAACCGGTGGGCATTGGGTGTAATTTGCCCGGGTAGAATTTTGAAACAACGGCACAATTCAATCAAAAGGGGACGAAGGGGGAAGACGGTCCCACTCTCTAGAGAAATGATGTGAAAACCTACCCTATCGTCTCGATGGGGCTCGATGATGTTGGGCCAGTTGGGGTCATACTCGAGAACATACCCCGCCGGGAGATTCCTGCGGGCTTTATTTTGAGCAATCTTAGAAACCCGGGGAGGAATGTCTAAGGGGTAACTGGTAGGGAGAGGAGAATAACCGGCTGCTTCCAGCCGGTCCTCCCATGCCTCGTACGACTCATTTTCAGGGTCATAGGGAGCCGGTTCATCTTCCACCGGTGCATCCCTCTCCTGAAAAACCTGACCGGGCATCTGATTTACCGGCTGCGGTTCAGGGATGTTGGGATTTGGAATCGACCGGGGTTGAGGAATGGGGGAAGACGACCCGGTCGAAGAAGAAGAGGAAAGGGATTCCTCGGATGCGCGGGCATCCGAGGCGGAAATGTCTTGACTATCTGGGGAAGACATTTACCGGGAAGAAAAATGGAGAAAAGAAAGCTAATAAGAAGAGGAGAGAAGCTTACTTGGCTCGGAGGGCTAGGAAGCTAAAGCGGAGAGAACGACCGGTGAAACTCAGAAGGGTCGCGCGAGAAGAAGTGGAGGAATGAATGGGTTGAAGACCTTTATATAGGAGGAGAGGAGGCCAAATGGAGCGATGTGGCCACGCGAGAACACGCCGCGTCAGGCGGCGCAATGATGGCGCATGGGGAAGGCGATGGGACGCGACTGCTGCAATGGCCAGCGCCAAACACGTGTCAAAGTCGACAGTTCAAATTTTGAATTTGAAATATTCGAGCGGGAAAAATTAGAAATTTAAATTTAAAAGTCCTGTTTCAGTATTTTTACTTCCCGCTTATGACAAAATTGCATAACCGAGAAGTGGAGGGCTTATTGATGGGTGTATTTCACCCATGACCGGTCAAGGGTCCGAATCAGAAAGTTGACCGGTCAAAGAAGTCGAACTCGAAAGGGAGATCTGAATCGTCAGCAAAGGGATGGCTAATTGACCAGAAAGTTGACCGGTACACTTCGGGTTAGTATACCGGTCAAACTACTCCATCGCCTGAATTCGTCCTCCGGAGTTAGCCAGACCAGCCCTCAAAGATCACTCGGTCTAGTTTCCGAAGATCGGAGAGTGTCGGCAGGAGGAATCCAAAAGGATTTGGACTATAGTGGTTGGCGTTGCGGAGATGCTGAGGGAATATTTCCGAACCAGAACACGACGAAGGCGCAGCCCCCCACGCAAGATGACAAGGCAGTACAGGACCAGTCACCTCGCAGCACATCAGCAGCGTGCCTCCATGTGGGTGCACGTGGCCATGTCCCCCCTTTTAGCCTAGTATAAATCCTATATATATATGTAAAGTAGAGTTCCATTGTTGTAGTGTTGACATGTGGCATGCCACATGTGCATCCACTAATGAGGTGGATATATGCATTTCTCATTTAGATTTTTTTAAAAGATCTTTGAATACATTTGTATAAATCTTTTTCATTTTTTAATAATTCTATAAATATATATTTCACCATTGTAAAATATACTATATATATATATATGCATATTTATTAATTAAATACTTTGTTTCAAAAATTTTATCTTATTACATTATTTATTTTATTTCTACATATATTTTTTAACAAAGTAAATAGAATAAAATTGGTTTAATTGAAGGGTGACAACTGACAATTGACAAGTGACATTATGACACATATACATTCTTTAATAATGTACCATTATGTAATTATTAATCCACTTTTTATTAAATTATTTTATTAATTGAAACTATTTTTATTAGTACGGAGTACTTAATTAAATGACCATTAATTTTGTAGAATTTGTTTGTTTTTAAATTAACATATCAATTATATTTCACCAGTTTAAAATATATTTTGTCACTATCAAAAAACTAAAACAACTAAAATTATATTTATAGAATCTCAAAAATTTAGAGTATATACGAGCCCGTGCGAAGCACGGGGTTAACACTAGTACTCATGTAAACCTCAGAAAGAAGGATCCGAATTCACTCTCTCTAAACTCCCTTGTAAAAGTGACCGTGCATTCTTTGTTTTAATACAATTCGGGCTACAGGTGTTCCACCTAAAGTCCTACCGGTCGTTCCGAGTGTTTTTACCTTCTTTACTTTACTGAATCAAGCCGACTATTCTGGACCCGGTCTAGTATAGTTTGACCGGTCAAGTAATTTACACCATCAAGAAATAGTTTTAAATATAACTAGATTCAGATTAGATCATATCAGATCAAAACTTATTCCAATCAGATTAGAACCAATCAGATTAGTGGTTTAAAATTAGTCCAACGCAAGTTTGGAAAATTGAGTATAAATTAAAGAAATTATATTTTTCTTGCTTGTGCTAAAATATTGTGTTTATATACTTATTTTACTTTTAGGAAATAAATACTCCGTATGTCGTTTAAAAAAAAACATCTAAAGTAATGTTGGTTTCGTATTTGTCATCATTTATAATTTATATTTTATACCATACATATTCGTAAAGAGAGTGTACGTTTCATCAAACGGTTATGCTACACTTACATCACAAATTGTACCCCATTTATATATACCGCAGTTATACACAATCATTTTGATGGTTTACACCAACACAAGTGTTGGTGCGTTAATAAAAATTTACACGGACACAAAATGTTGGTGCATTAATAAAAATTAGTTTTACACCAACACAAAGTGTTGGTGGAAAGCTACGGGGTACAAAGTGGGATACAAAACATGGGTACAAATATTACTCATAAATGACTCCAAACTTTTGTAGTTTTAGGCCACGGACATTTATTTAACCTATTTGTTTTAGCTTTTTTTGTCAACAAAACTTTTTGTTGGGGCTTAAAATGAAGGTTTATGGGATGAGATGATTCTAATTTTGAGAGTGTAAAATGAGGGCTATGCAACAAATTTTGAAATGTATTTTGGATAGAGTTTATGAGTGATGCTTACATGGTGCTGAGGTTCACATTTAAAAAAGTTCACATTTAAAAATGTAGGCCTCCTCACATTTTCATGTGCTTGAATGTGAAAATTTTCATTTTTGCAATACACCTGTTTTTTAATCAAACAAATGCAATAAGGTCTATAAAATGAGCATAAACATTATATTCACGGAAGAATTTGTCAGAGTTAGTCAATTAGTAAAAATAAGGAAATTCTCAAAACATTCTTTTCTAGTAAAGCATTTTCCTAATTCAATCTTCAATAAGTAATAATTACTTACTCCCTCCGTCCCAAAAAGATTTACACCTTTCAAAAAAAATTGTGTCCCACGATCTCCTACCCATTTCTATTAAAAAACCACTTTTACCCCTTACTTTTTCAAATCCTACCTATCACATCATACCTTTTTCCTAATAATCTACACATCACATCCTACTTTTACCCATCACATCAAGGGTATTTTTGAAAAGTCAACACAAAATTATCCCTCCTTTAATTTCAACTTTAGTCAAAACGTGTAAATCTTTTTGAGACGGAGGGAGTATTTGATATTTCATAATTGAGATATTTTTCTTCGATAATCCTCAATGAATAATAAATACTAACACGATACTTTATAATCGAGATCTTTCCCATGGCAGTCTTCCGATAATTAATTGGGTGATAGTATTATAAATATAAGAGCAAAGGGGTGATTTGGACATATATAGACTATTTGGCAACTTCTGAAAGGGTAAGTGCTGAATCAGTAAGAGATCTGAACCATTAAGTGCTGAACCAGTAAGAAGTCTGAACCATTAAGAGCTAGTATATTTCTTAACTATTCAGAGGCAAATGTCTGATCAATTCAGATAAGAGGTATTAACCATTCAGACTCTGTATAATACTTAACCATTCAGAGGCAAATCTCTTAACCATTCAGACTTCTGAACCATATAGAGGCTGAAACAAACAGTCTGAACCATTAAGTGCTGAACCATTCAGACATCTGAATCATTAAGAGGTTGAAGTCATGAAACCCTAAGTAGAGCGTATTATCCGTCATTTGGTAGCCACCTCATCATAGACTCCATGACTTTAAAATGGTATCCTGCATAAATAAAGCTCCCCTCATTATCACAATGAATTTTTTTAAATATTATTTTATTAAATTTTAATTAAAAGTAGAAGATGATTGGTTAGAGTAAAGAGGGCATAACGTTATGCAGATAGCGCCTTGAATTGTTTTGTGGACTATAACACCAAAGGGGGTGGGGATAGGGGCTCTATCTTGGACATGAAGCCCACTGTGGTCTGTGGAGAGGCTTAAAAGAGAAAAATGAACATGGTGTTATGAGAGCATGTGCAGCGGCGTGGTGAATTACTCCCACGCCTTGCGAGATCAGCTTCAACATGCGTGGATGAGGCGAGGCAAAGCAATTTCTCCTCTTTCTCCGTGTCAAGCGCGAGGCATCTCCTTCTCATTTTTTTTATTTTTTGTTAATTTTTTTTTACAGTAATTTTTTTAATTTATTTATTTTTTTTAAATAAGAAATATTTTTAAAAGGAGTATATCTATTTTTTATTTGGAAAAAAATATAAACAAAATAAATTTAAATAATTAAAACATGTGAAAAAATGTAAAATTGATAAAAACTATGACTTGCCACTACATGACATACCACTCCACTCACGTGCCACACGCTGACTAGATTGTTTTTAATTAGTTGAAATCTTCCACATCATCGTGTGTCATTCTACTTCTTACTTGCCATTGTGAATGCTCTGAGTATGGCGCCACGCCCCCTTCCCCTTACTTTACTCCCTCCAATTATATTTTTACACTTCATCTCTCTCACATTTAGTTTAATTTAATTTAAAAAAATATTAATAGCTATGAGGCTTTTTGTACTACATTGCTTCTTTTGTCCCGGAGCCCCTTGACGAGGTAGCTGCCACATGGCGGATAATGCCTCTTTTACAGTTTCATGACTACACATGGTACGGTGTAAGTCAACAAAAGTGTGAAATTCGGCATCAAATTACCAAAATAGAGCACCATTTGAAAAAATGTGTGGGCTTTGGGGAAGATTTTTTTAGGACATGTCCATGCATACAAAAATTGAATCCTAGCCAATCCTAGCAATTTTGTAGGACTCTTGATAGCATTGGAAAAGAACTAGACAATGGGCTTGGTCTCGCTTTGGAGGGACCATCTCAAGTTGACAAAAAATTAAAGCTTCTTTAACACCTTATGTAGTCATGAAGCCTTAAGATGAGCGTCCTCATAATCGGTTCCGTGACATAAAAGTTCTGTAGTACATAAAACCTCATAAAACCTCATCAGTCATCATGATATCACTTTTTCAAATAAATATTTTAAAATGATGATGTGTAAAATATACATTGGATGGTAGGGGTGAGCATCGGGTTGGTTCGGTCGGTTTCGGCCCAAAACCGAACTAACCGAATTTTTTTTGGGTTTATAAAAACCGACCGAAACCGAACCGTTATATTTGCATAACCGACAAAACCGAAACCGATTAAACCGAACTGTTACGGTCGGTTATTTATAACCGAATTGTATATCACCATTACAAGAAAATAATTTGAGAATTGGGTTTGGGGGGTTCATTCTGCCAAAAAAAA